TTCTGTAATTTACAAGATTGAAACAAAAAATATGTAGATTTGGTATGATTAAATATTTCAAAGCATTACAAACAAATAAATATGTTGGTGTGAAATCTCTTAAAACTAATGCCTCATGCATGATTAACCTGTTCACATTTCATTCAATTAATATGAAAAGAGTATATTGATTTTTAAATTGTCAAGCATTTTGAATGTTTATATTGTAACAAAATGACTCTCTTGTTTTGTGTTGGCTTTCGTTGGCTTTCGTTTGAAGTGAAACTTGTCTTGTTCACAGATTTTTCCTCTGATTTATTTGTTAAGTGTGATGGATGCAGTTCACCTGCACTATCAGCATTACAGGTATCTAGCATTTTCTACTATCTATACTGGCCCATTGTCATGAAAGATTTTATTTTTCTACTTTGATGTGCTGAAATACACAACAACAGTCTTTGCATTAAGACAGTACATATACATATTTTTTTTAATTATGTGAATGAATGATTTATGGACAATCTAGCTTGTTGTGTCTTTATGTTACAGAGAAGTTTTAATTGTTATTTTCTATATTGATCGATGTGTCATATTACTAAAAATATACTTATTTGTTGGTTTAAAGACCTAAAATAATTCATGATTCTTTTGATCTCTGACATTAAGCATTACATTTCATTTTCCAACAGGAAGGATAGAGATACATGTAGATAACTACAAACCGGATATTCAAAATATCAACTATCAGGCCAAATTCACTATCCAGTGCACCTCTACTTACAAGATGAAGCGGAATAAATAACAGAAAAATAAAATGGAACAAAATGTTTATCTCCATATATAATTTTAATAAGACAGTCATGGAAGAATCATTTGGGATACGGCTTTTAAAGTTAATTTTCCTTTTACATTGTATAACTTCTTAATGACATATATAATAAAGGAGCAAGTTCTCAGTGTACATGTACCAGTACTTTTTTTTAAAAATTTGCTGAAGTTGTTTGATTAAACATACTTGTGAATACTAAGCAGGACAGTTTTTAAATGGCTTTACATGTAGCTACATGTACCATGAACATCATTTCTGCTGGTAGGTGTAATTAACATACAAAGAAGAACTCACAAGCCCCAGTCTATTTTTAATATAATAACAAAGTTTGCAATTTTTCGACCTGGGTCACATTTGGTTTAATTATTGCTTGTAAATGCATGTTAGGCCTACATGTACATAGTTCAGTTCATGCTGAGAGTATTAGGAGGATAATAATCTACACACATATGCACACGTACAGCTCAAGCAGGGATCCATGGATAATCTCACTCCCTATGTGTAAACGTGTATAGAACCATTTTTCTGCTGTTCTAATTCCCTGATTTATTGCCATGTGGTCCAGTGGCCACAAACAGATTTGGTTTGTCCAATATCTACAGGTTCTCATTCAGTTACACAGTCTGGTTATGAATCATGCTGAATCTGATTTAGATTTTTAGTCTACATGTACATGTAGCCTAATTCACATATTCCATGCTGAAGAATAAAGAATGTAATTTCCAATTGTTTCTGAGGGTCTTAAGATATCTGACCAATATAAACCACCAAAGTTAAAAGTTTTACACCAGTGCTAGACTTCCAACTGTGAAGGGTGCTTTTATGTGCACACCAGTATGTGTACATGTGACCTTGTTTTTTTCTCTCCATCCGATTGACTATACATTGTCCCTTGCTAGGTCCTCCTTCATTGTACACGACTGACAAGGGAGACCGTGCCACGCTAATATATACTCAAATTGATTATTTAACATTTGATTAAGAAATCAAAATAACAACACTAGATGTTCTCCTGACTTGGATTTAATCGGATTTAAAACAGGCCCATGAATTTGGTTCTGGGCAGATAAAGATAAGGAACAGCATAGGTCCATGGAATTTGTAAATACTGGACAGAATTGAACCATTGATAGATTCATCTTACAAAATATTGTAATTCTATAGCGTTGACATCCCGATCTGAATCTTTAACAAGGAATTGTTATAATACAAATATTGAAAACAAATCGCTATTTTATCGATTGTGTTCTGAATTGAACCTGGACGTGTAAATATAATTGCTGTCAAACTGTGTGCCAATTTACCAAGTACCTTATATATTACAACTTGTGAATTTAGCAGTTTTAAAAGAGCTAATCTTTTAACTCATTATTTTACATAATGTTTGAAATTAACAACACAAATTAGAATTCTGTATTGGTCCATTTCAATCAATATTGATGTTGTAACCTTACCCTGAAAATATGGAATCTTGATATCTAATATTTTAAGACACAATACACATTTTAAAATCAGTACACAAGTCGTGTATTCAGATGCCATTTGTAATGAACAAAGACAAACATATCCCTCAACACAATGTGGAAGTAATTGGTAGTGGGTGATTCACAAACGACAAAATAATCTTTAAAAAATTTGTGTAGAATGGAGAAAGTAGGCGTAAACATCCATCCTTCAATTTGGACAGTTCACTGAATTAAAGATTACTTCAAAATTAGTACATGTATATCCACGTAATCGGTTACCTTATTCGAATTTGGTGTGCATTTCATGTCAGATTTGCTTTATTTTAAGGCTGATTCTGCGGCAATACTACATCACAGGAAAACACCGGAAAACACCATTTTATACTGAATACCGGAAAACACACTAAATACCGGAAAATACCCTAAATAGGTAACCCAGAGACTGGCACCCTTAATAGGTAACCAGGAGCCTAGTCCTCTGTGTGCCTGGGTTATGGTTAGGGTTAGTTTCCGGTTTATAGTATAGCCCTTCTCCGGGTTACCAATTTAGGGTGGTTTCCGGTATTTAGTGTGTTTTCCGGTATTTAGTGTTTTTCCGGTATTCAGTATAACATGGTGTTTTCCGGTAGTTTTCTGGTTGTTTTTTGGTGGTTTCCGGTATATACATGTACAATGTAGTATAGCCCCTGATTCTGCTATGAGGTACATGTAACCTTTTTTGGTCTGTAGTAAGAGTACATGTATTACAAACTTATCCACATTGTCATACTGTAAATAACTTCTGCCACACATATTAATTTTAGTTTTTAATGTACATGTATCTGCTCTTTATACAGATGGTATAACTCTTGTACAGTCAATTCCATTGCTTGAGCAGTTAAATTCAGTTACAGTAGGTGATGATTAAGTGTACCGGTTTGGTATGGTAGTCAATCATCAAAAGCTTGTTCAGCACATTAACGTACATTGGATGGTTGTAATGTATTAAAATAAACCCACTGCACACCAGTTTGGGAGTACTAGCCTACATGTACTGTACAATGTATTTGAAAGATTTTGAGTAGATTGAATGGAAATGAATTAAAATAGAAATAGAAAATCTATAGTAGGCTTATAGTTATACAGATAGATATAGATGTCATGTACATGTATTGTAGCTTTAAAGTTTAATCCATTCTGTGCAGATATTACGTATGGAATTGCATTCTGTTGATGATAATATGTTAAGTTCATACAAAATCACGAATTCAAGATCGGAAATGGAAACGGCAAAAAAAGAATATTGGATTCTTTAAGTTTAACTATATGAAATACCAGATGTTGCCATTGTTGAAAAGAGTGAAATATAATAACAAAGCCTATACATTTAAACTGTTTTAATCAGGTTGTCTAAACAGTGACTGTCTTTGATTGGATTGGCAAATTGTCAGACATGTATTGTAAATGTTGAAAGCAGTTAATTCACCCTCATTCAACTGCACTTATTTAAAAATTTGTTTGATCTCAAGTATGCAGGTAGACTGGTATACAAATATGACTCCTGCACAGTTAAAATTTGATGCGACGTTCAATATGATACAAGCTTGCATACATGTAAGCTCTCACATGTGACTGTGCAGTGTAACATGTGCATTATGCGCTATAGATTATAACATCTGTTAACTTGACGAGTGTGATCTCAGGATTGTAAACAGAATTGATTCATCTGTATGTAGCCCTTCCGGAAGACTCTTCCAGCCATGCGAATCGAGTGAACTGCAGAAATGAATATGGCCAATAGGATCAGTTTATCAATCATTGATATAGGGCAATGTTATCTACAATTAATGTAGTCCTCCATTTTGTTTTCTGTCTCTTCTAGGTTCGGACTGGAATTTCCTATTTCCTTTGAGGGTGGAAGAGTCCAAATCAAGTGCGCGGTTGTACATGTACATGTAGCTTTGTAGGTTTTCTTTGGGTACAAGAGATAGCTCCCACTTCTAAGACTCCCACTCGCAAGTGAATTATTTAAAAAAAAAGAAAAAAAAAAGATGATCATTAATTAGTGCCTACTGTGCATGTAGATGATTTCATGTCGAGTGGATATAAAACCACATTTCTATCAGTAATTGATTATTATGTGGGTCTAATACTAATAGTAAAAGATAAGACAGGATAACTGCATAACAAAATCATGTTAGGTTAGCAGTATATGTATATAAGCGTGTGAGTGTAACATATGTTGGTACGAAACAGTGAAGTGTATATGGGCTTTTTTCATAAAAATGTTCCAATAATGGTAAAGACAATTTTGAAAAGTAATAATGAATTATTAATATTATTTTCACTGTAGTCTATACATGTACATGTAGATTTATAACTCAAGCATAAGGATATATACAATAGCCAAGCTGAACTCTTAAAAATAACAAAATTGTAACAAAACCAAAATTTGTTTGAATACCTTTTCAGTCACCATGTAAAAGACCATGTTAACAGTAAAAATATAATGGAAAGTCATAATTTTAAGATAAAAATGTTTGAATACCATTAGAAACCATAAAAATATATTATACAATGTAATTTTAACAAAAGACTTTTTGTTTTGTCACACTGTTGATAATAAAAAAGTTAAATGTGTGAATAAGATCTATCTATTATTATTTATTTTATGTATACACAGTAAGCTTATATATATATCTTTTTTTTAATATTCTGATATTTTGATTGATCTCTTTTCCTTCCAGTTTTAACTGACAGAATCATGCCTCCCGACGCACATACCATGCATTCTACTGTTGATCACCAAATTACCTCGCCAGATACGTACAGTTTTACAGAGGATTCTACCTACCAAAATGATATGATGTCAAATGATATAAAGAGAAAGAAAGGTATTGGAGTAGCAGGGAAGAGTATAGAAGAAGAATTATGTCGTATTTGTGGAGATAGAGCATCAGGTTATCATTATAATGCTCTGAGTTGTGAGGGATGTAAAGGTAAGATTATAACCAATTGGATGAAAATATTGTCAATTTCATTAGTTTTATTTTTGATACCGGTAATGATGACCCATGCTAGTGTCGAAAATCAGATCGAGATTTGTGATCCGAATCCTTTTGTTGGCTATCCGAATACTATTCGGATAATTCGGAGACGTGAAATTCCATCAAAAGTTCATATACCGGTACTCATAATTTCTTACTTGTTTCAATGTTTATGAGTGTCTGTGTATGCTGAGTATTAAATTGTACTTTCGATTTGCAAATTGTTTGAGCCGCGAAGAATTATTAAGACTATCTATGACATCCCAAAAAATCAATGAGGTGAAGGAATTTGTATAGTATAACTACTCCTGTTATCCGTACCCTCCCACTTATCATTTTGCTCAATCAACACGAATGAAAAAATTAAATAAAAACATGTGCCATTTATACCGCCAAGGTTGTTTGCCTCATTCTAATAATCTACTACTATTGAACCAATCAGTTAGTGGGAATATACGTGACCTAGGTCGTTATGAATAAATTTCATTGTGGGAAGTCAAAACACGGTCTAAATTCGTATTCATTCAGGGAATGAATGAATATTTTTTTTATTTAGGCTACTGTTTTCGTTGCACTGCATTAATAATTTTATTAGTTACTATCACTAAATAATACGCATAATGTTGACATGCTCAGAGCTGCGTACATGATCAATTGCATTGGGGAAAATTTCAAAGTAATCAGATGGAAAAATGGCTAAGTATAGAGATAGAGCATACGGGATGTCAGAATATATTGTAACGAATAGTAAACGGATAGTAAAATGATTCGGATAACCCTTATTTTGTATCCGTTAACGAATATCCGAATAGTAGTTTCAACACTAACCAATGCATTTAAAAATTTGCTCTTTTAAGTTTTAAAAGTTGAACTTGCTTATGCTAATGTTCCTGCAGATCCGTAGGACGTTTAACAACATTTCATTTCATTTATGCTAATGTTAATGCTCAAATGACAATTTTTCAAGTGATTACAAAACAGAGACAGAGCATATGCTAATACATACATGTATTAATTAACCTATCTATATAGTCATCGCACACGACACTGTCTACACAATACACATCTATCAACAAATAAAACCCTAAAAAATCTAATGTTCATGATCCTCAATTACATTTAAATGTAGCTTGTTGGTTGTTACAGCAGATTTAGAAAATTATGTTTGTTTTTTTTTTTTCAATTTGCTATATTATTATTGACTGTTCATGTACCTACCGTTAAGAGCTGGATCTTTTGGTTTAGTACAATTCATATCCCTAAAGTTTGCACCTTAACGAGAACAGAATATTTTCAAGGTTCTTAAAACAATCGTTGAGTTGCCTACATGTAGCTGCCAAGTTCTACTAAATTCTAGCTTTATGTTCTAGTTTTGATTATCCAGGCCTGTTCATCAATGGGAGAACGGTTATTAGACTCGCTGTTCAGTGAAAATTTTTATGAATGCACTTTTTTGATTTTCATCACAAAAGGTATAAACATTATCAATTGGGTTGAAAAACTGACATGGTTATAGAATTTGTATTAGAGATTTGCAGCAAGAAATTTTCATTCAAATAACAAGTTTCAGAGCAAATTTGTTGATTTTTTCCTTCGATAAAATTTTATTGTTTATCAGTACTATGAATAAGACATCCTATAAATAGATTACCAATCGATTATTTCGCACACAAAGCAAATTTTGCACATTTTCACATTCAAGTTATCAATGTCATTTTTAAAATCATCGAACTATTAATAGATTTCCTTGGGAATTTGTATGAGAATACATTCACTCATAAGCTCACTTACCAATCAATTATTTCGCACACAAAGCAAATTGTGTGCATTTTCACATTCAAGTAATCAATTTCACTTTTAAAAATCATTTCCCAAAGTGTCATTTTACAAAACTATAATAAATATTTACTATTAAAAATAAATGACCACAGATTTATAATGTAATGCTGTTTTTTACTTGTTTCCAGGTTTTTTCCGTCGAAGCATCACCAGAGGTGCAACATATAATTGTCGTTATGGTGGAAATTGTGAAATGGATATGTGGATGCGAAGGAAATGTCAGGCTTGTCGATTACGACGATGTAAAGAATGTGGAATGAAAGAGGAATGTAAGTTACAATAACATGGATATTTTTGGTCAAAACTTTTATTATGTTTTTTTGACGATTTTAACTTTAAGTGACAAAATGTCACAATGATTTTTTGACAGGGAGGGGGATATGAATAATCAGTTCTTTTTTCATTAATGTACTTGATGTTCTGGACATGTGAGGGTCAATGCATTGTTTAAAGGATGTTTAGGTCGATCCTTAGGTCTTGAATTTGTACTTGACAAGAAGTATGGTATCTGCCTGTCATCATTGTTTTCCTATGAGTTTCAAACTTAAACTCTCTCCCACTGCAAAAAGAGTGCAAATAAATTTGTTTAAATATACAGTAGAACTTATATTAAGCAAGCACCCAAGGGAAATTTAGAAATGCTTGCTTAATGGAGGTGCTCTTTGACTAGAGGTATCCAATATTGCCCCAACCCCTACCACAAAAAATAAAGATATAGATTGCATATATTTTTTTATTCATGTACATGTAGTATAACAATAACAATACATGTACTTTTTATCTAGTTGTGAATTCAAAGTAGTCGCGTATACATGTTTGTTTAGTAATACTTGATATCTGGCCCCCCAATATTTCTTTTACTGTCATCATACTGAATCATAGCGTCTAAAAGCATTTCAAAATGCCGTGAATTTGAGTATTTCCCACCCCAACTATTTTAGCGATTACGCGACCACTTAATAAAATCTCGGTGCTTTTTGTGCTGACATAAATTAATTACGCTTGGGTGCATTGGGAGCGAACATCAATACTTGCATCGATAAATTTGACCGTTGCTGAATCTTGCGCCGAACGAAAATTCTTTACTCAAATCTCGAACATAACTTTTGTAAACTTGTCATTTGTACCAACCTTCGATACTACTGTCTACCATTGTGATGCATTCGATAATATTTATCCATTATTGTGAAGAAAATCGATGAATTAATTTTATTTTATCAAAAAAGCACATGAACAAAAAACCATTGCTGATTTTATCACCAATTTACAGGGGTGTAGCTCTGTATGTAATATTATAGGGGGCGCTAAAATGTCTGTTTAACAACAAAGTGGCAATGATTCATGGAAAAGAGATACTAGATGATCATGACAAAACTCGTACTTTCATTTTATTCAATCAGTATCAAAAAATTTGTCGTTACGCGTGAAAACAATGATCAGGTTAGTCGTTTAATAAAACAAAAGATTAATAAACAAATAATCCCGGGTTGATTGTTATTTTTACATTTCTTTTTACCTGATCAGTGGGGGTCCAGTTAATTAACTACTACTCACGGGATTAGCGGGAGTGTTACAAAGAAAGAACGACAAGATGGTATCATTCAACAATGGCCGTTGAATGGGCGATGTATTGTTGAATTTATTAGTAAAATAGTGACCGCTGACCGCGTTAGAGGAGTGACCGTTGAAACAGTAGAATTTTTACGGGGGGAATTAATCGTGATGCCCGTTGCATGCTTTGAATCGGGGGGGGGGGGGATTTGTTGGTGCTCGTTTAAGCAAGTGTTCGCTGATTAGGAGTGCACGCCCGAGCAAGTTCTACTGTAGATATTGCCACAATGTCTTGGCATTGGGTGCTTGACTCTATGCAGAGGTATTGGGGTTGTAGTAAAACTGCACTCTTGAGTACCCATTATCTGACCAATATTTAACTGACATAGTGTGGTGTGTAGATAATCTGACAAATTGGTGACAGGTATATTAACTGACATAGTGTGAAGTGTAATTTAACTGACATAGTGTGGAGTGTAGATAATCTGACACATTGGTGACAGGTATCATTAACTGACCTAGTGTGAAGGGTAATTTAACTGACATAGTGTGGTGTGCACATTAACTAACATAGTGAGGCGGGTACATGTACAATGTACATTAACTGACCTAGTGTGAAGTGTAATTTAACTGACGTAGTGTGGCGGGCACATTAACTGACATAGTGAGGCGGGTACATCTGCAATGTACATTAAGTGACATAGTGTGGCGGGCACATTAACTGACATAGTGTGGCGGGCACATTAACTGACATAGTGTGGCGGGTACATGTACATTAACTGACATAGTGTGATGTGTAATTTAACTGACATAGTGTGACGGGTAGATGTACATTAACTGACATATTGTGATGTGTAATTTAACTGACATAGTGTGGCGTGCATATTAACTGACATAGTGTGGAATAGATGGTGTCGAGTCCACATTAACGGACCTAATGTGGAATGCATGTGACTGACCTAGTGTCAAGTGTATGTTAACCGATCTAATGTGGAATGTTCATAAAACTACCTTTCTGTCTTTATCAATTTAATTCTTTTTCTAGGTCTATTGTCTGATGAACAATGTAAAGCTCGTGATGCTCGCAGGAAAGCCAAAGCCAAAGTAAACCCTGCTAAAATTGATACAAGTCCTGATAGTAACAGTAAGCCTGAAATCACCAAACAACTACCCAGCCACACGATAAATAATTACTATATTAACCCTATGACTGTAATTGATAATGATCCCACAACAAAAATGGAACCAGAGCATCAAGAGTTGATAAAAAATATTGTAGCCTTACAAGATAAATATGAATTTCCGGACGTAGACAATGTGGAAAAAGTCACTGTAAGTAGAGTTTTTGTGGAGACATAATGTTTTAATCCTTTTTCATACTTAGAAAAATAAACTTGTAGACAGCCATTATTCTTGTCAACCATATTCAAAGGATATTTTAAGTCTAAAGATAGTCACTTAACTTCTAGATTTCATTTAAATCCTTGGTTACTTCCTGTAAGTTAATGGTAAGGGGTATTCAAAGGCAATGTTAAGAATTAAATGTTCTCTAAAAGTTAAGCTGCCTTAAATTTTAAGTGTTTAGTCTTTTAGTGATATCCAAAGGCCAGTTTAAGTGACAAATATAGGTATCTTTTATTCCCAATATAACTCAAGTTTATGTTGAGAGGAAGTTTAACCCCATTTCTCTGTCTCTTCTATCCAGATCAAAGGAAGATGGCTTTATTCAGTATTATGTGCTTAGTTTATATTGTAGAATGTTAACCATGATTGTAATTCATATTATTGTATTTAATATTGTAGAATGTTAAACATGATTGTAATTCATGTTATTGTATTTTATAGTGTAGAATTTTAAACATGGTTGTAATTCATGTTATTGTATTTTATGTTGTAGAATGTTAAACATGATTGTAATTCATGTTATTGTATTTTATATTGTAGAATGTTAAACATGATTGTAATTCATGTTATTGTATTTTATATTGTAGAATTTTAAACATGGTTGTATTTCATGTTATTGTATTTTATGTTGTAGAATGTTAAACATGATTGTAATTCATGTTATTGTATTTTATATTGTAGAATGTTTAAACATTATAATTCATGTTATTGTATTTTATATTGTAGAACGTTAAACCTGGTTGTAAAGAGACAACCGCAGATGCCTTGTTTCATGATATGGCTGAGATGACAGTTTTAATTACACATCTCATTGTAGAATTTGCTAAAAATTTACCTGGCTTCAACTCGTTACTTAAAGAGGATCAGATTATTCTATTAAAAGTAAGATTCTTTTACTCAATCAGGTTAATTTTTATGCGCCCACATTTTTATGTGGACGTATATATTGTCGTCACCCCCGTCCGTCCGCCCGTCTGTCTGTCCACAATTGTTTGTGAACACTCTAGAGGTCACAATTTTGATCTGATTTCGATGAAACTTGAAATACATGTGTATAACCCAAAGATATTGATTCCTTTCGATATTCGCGCATATCGATTGTAACTTCCTGAATTATGGCCCTTGATTGAATAAAAAATCATGTTTTTAGCTTGTGGTCCCTGTAGAGGTCACAAATTTTATCCGATTTAAAAAAAAAAAACGTAGTTTAAACATATTTTATTGACAAATATCAAAAGAATTGAGCACAAGTTTCAAAAACTTAGAAAAGCCCTTTCCATACATACAAATGATAGACAAAATTTAATACAAACAAGATTGCGAAATAGTATATACAATAATAAATAATTTATAAGTAATATAAGTAAAGTCAGATGAATTATATCGCAAAGCTCTATATAAAATAAGTGAAGAGGTGATAAAGAGAATATAAAATTAAATTTAAAACATTGAAAAATAAAGTTTAAAAAAAAAACGTGTGAAGTAGATCAGCATTACACACTAAGATCTTGGTTCCTTAACTTACCTTTCTGGATTATGGTACCTGATTGTTCGAAAAATCGCATTTTTAGCTTGTGGATTCTCTAGAGGTCACAATTTTTTTTCCGATTTTAAAAACTGTTTAAATACATTGCATTCCACCACAATGAAGGTTGAATTCGTATTTTGGGAAAATAGAAATGGAACTGCCCGACAAAATGGCCGCTCTTTGTACGCAAATTGTGTAGAAGTGTGTAATAAGAAGGTTGTGACCCTCTAGAGGTCACAATTTTTATCCGATTTTGATGAAACTTAAAACATATCTTTATATCCCAAAGATCTCTGTCCCTTTTGATATTTGCACATTTCAGGTCATAACTTTCTGGATTGTTTTTAGCTTGTTCTCTATCCATCTCTTGCAAAATGTGGGCGTATCCTGACTGGCAGCCGCTGGTTATACTCTTACATTATCATGTGGACGTAATAAGTTGTCACCCATGTCTACCCAGACATCCATTCTCATTGTTTTGTGGACACTCTATAAGTCACACTTTTTGTCTGGTTTTTGCTCAAAATTGAAAAACATGTCTATATCCTGCAGATTGTTCAGGCCTCGAATTCTAATCTTTTTAGGGCACTGCCAGTTTGGCCTCGGGTTTTTGACCAAATTTAGTGCAAAGTGCAAGTGCAAAACAGGGTTATTAATCCAATTTGAAACAAACGGGACAGGGAATAGGGTAATTGCAAGCTTCCATTCCATTCCCTTTGATAAAAACAGACTTCTCAACAAAAATAATTCTTGGTAACTTGTTGTGGAGTATCTTGTATAATTATAATATACAAAAATAACGACAAACAGTGCACCGTTCAGAAAAATTTTCATATCTAATTCACATACTGACTTGGAAGTTCAAGTCAATAATATTCCCGAATAAATCACGGAAAATAAATGGGGGGGGGGGGTGGAACTAAAAAATATGACGTGTAGTAAGACATTGTTTAAATTGCTGGTGTACTTTAATAAGGCCGTGTTGAATTGATTCCTTGTTTCTCCTGCCACCACTCTGGCAATCATGTGTGGTAGTGCGGTAAACACAACACAAAGTGGGTTTCAAAACACAACACAAAATGGTCTGGCATAATACCTATATAGTCTGAGCTAGGGTTGTGTACCATTTTTAGAATTATAAATAATCTAGTTATATTATTGGTTAGAATAAAAACACAGATAATATTTAATTGAATAAATTTAATAACAAACTAAAATTTGGTAACAAGTGGCTTCTTTGTTTAACTTTTTAAAAAATGAAATAACCATATTTTGATATAAATTTTCCGTATTCTTGTGTTACAATACAATTCGCTTGTTGAGTTATAGATGGTTTCGACAATATCATCGAACGTGCAAGTGCTGGGAATACCTACCAAAGTCGAGTCGAGATAAGATATTCGCGTACCGGTCGGCCTAATTGATGTTCAAGGAAATAAATAGTGGTCCCGTTCGTTCGTTAAACTCCAGAAACGAACGAACGGGACCACTTATTTCCTTTAACATCAATAAATTAGGCCGACCGGTACGCAAATTTACCTATGTGAGTATGTCCCTGCATAGCTCACCATTTTGTAAGGCGTGCGTTATTTATTACACAAGATATGATTGGGTAATACTTGAATAATAATGACATGTGTTATAATTTTAGCCAATGAAAATATTGATTATTCAGGTTCGCGGTTGAATATTAGCGACTCTCTTACAGTTTATAATATGCTTTCTCATTAGCCGAAATGACTGCTACACGCGCCATTTTGCCGAATTCATCCAATCAAATACAGTGTAACTTATTCCATAGTATGCGGGCCCCTACATGTGTATTATCAACCGGATCCATTCACTTGATTCGATATTTGTTTATTCGGTGCTATGCTTATTTTCTGTCTTGTCCGCAGGTTTATCTTGTAGATTTTTGTTTTGCGTGTGGTGCGAATGCGCACGCGTTTCGACATACGTCTTCATATTCGGCCAACCTCGGCTTATTCTGGTTCCCTTACACTATTATGTATTGTAGTATCGGAGGCCTCCGCGGTTGACCGAATGCAGTTCTCCGAGACTATTCACGCAGCGATATTGTAGAACTTTCTGAACACGTTGAATTACTCGAAAATCGAGACGAGCATACTGGTATACATTGTTAATTAGTATGGTGATGTGTATGGCAAAAACGATATGTAATTGGCCAGATCTGTGGCTCAGGTAGACGTTTTATTTACTGGATCAGAAAGGGGCATCCCTGCTAAGATGTCCGGCAACCACGGCCACAGTGGCCGTGGACAAAGTGAAGATTTTGAGGGCACGGCGGCCAATTGAAAGGGCAGCCTCGGCAATGGCCGCGGTGGCCGCCGTTAATTTCGAGGCCTGATTGTTGATGGGTTCGATATTGGACTGTAACTTCCTGGATTATTGTCCCTGATTGTATGAAAATCTTATACACTACAGCTTGGCGGCTGTTAAGAGATCACAAATTTTATCCATTTTTGAAGAAACTTAAAAATATGTTTTCGGATGGGTTTGATTTTGCTATATATTCGAGTGTAACTTCCTGGATTATTGAGGGGGGGGGGGATAGATGGCCGAATGGTTAATGTGTGCTCATTGCATCATAAGGTCTGTCATTAAGTCAAGTCTCGTGGTTGCCCCTCCCCTTTACACCAATAGTGGCAAAGCATGTAATATATATACCAAGGTTGTGGGTTTTACATTAAGGACAGTACAGTAGAATCTGTAAGAGCAGCCACTCCTATTCAGCAACATCTCCTTGTAGAAATTCTGTTGTTTCATCTCTTTACTTAACAGTGACTCTTCTAACTTGGCCCATTTAACATCATTGTTGAATGATACAATGTACCATCTTGCCGGTAATCCTGTGATTAATAGTTAACTAACTGGACCCCCATCTGATCAGGTAAAAAGAAATGTGAAAATAACAATAAACCTGAGATTATCTGCTTATTAATCTTTTGTTATTAAATGACAAAAACTGATCTGGTGATCTTTGTTTTCCCATGTAACAAGAAACATAATTTTTATACGCCCACATTTTCATGTGGATGTATATTGTCGTCGCCCCTGTCCGTCCGTCCACAATTTGTTTGTGGACACTCTACAGGTCACAATTCTTATCCGATTTTGACGAAACTTGAAATATAGGTTTATCCCCAAAAGATCTCAGCTGCTTTCGATATTGGCATGTATCGGATCGAAACTTCATGGATTATGGTCCCTGATTGTACGAAAAATCACGTTTTTAGCTTGTGGACCCTATAGAGGTCACAATTTTTATCCAATTTTTTTAAAACTTGAAATATAAGTTTATAACCCAAAGATCTCGGTTCCTTTCGATATTCGCGCATATCGGACCATAACTTCCTGAATTATGGCCCCTGATTGTACGAAAAATCGCGTTTTTAGCTTGTGGACCCTATAGAGGTCATAATTTTTATCCGATTTAAAAAACCGTATTATTATATCACCGTTACACCCTAAGGAAGGTTGAGTTCGAATTTCGTGAAAATCGGCCCAAAATTGATAGAAAAAATGGCCGCCGTTCGTTCTCAAATAGCGTAAAAATATGGTATATCAAGGTTGTGGACCCTATAGAGGTCACAATTTTTATCCGATTTTGTTGAAACTTGAAATGTAAGTTTATAACACAAAGATCTCAGTTCCTTTCGATATTCGCATATATTGAATTGTAATTTCCTGAATTATGGCCCTTGATAGTAGGAAAAATCACTTTCTTGTTAGCTTGTTCTCTTTCCATCTCTCGAAAATGTGGGCGTATCCTGCCTGGCAGCCGCTGGTTGAAACTTGAAATGTAAGTTTATAACCCAAAGATCTTGGTTCCTTTCGATATTCGCGCATATCGGACCGTAACTTCCTGAATTATGGCCCCTGATTGTACAAAAAATCGCGTTTTTAGCTTGTGGACCCTATAGAGGTCATAATTTTTATCCGATTTAAAAAAAAGTATTATTTTATCACCGTTACAGCCTAAGGACGGCTGAGTTCGAATTTCGTGAAAATCGGCCCAAAATTGACAGACAAAATGGCCATCGTTCGTTCTCAAATTGCGTAAAAATATGGTATATCAAGGTTGTGGACCCTATAGAGGTCACAATTTTGATCCGATTTTGATGAAACTTGAAATACATATTTATAACCCAAAGATCTTGGTTCCTTTCGATATTCGCACATATTGGATCATAACTTCCTGAATTATGGCCCTTGATTGTATGAAAAGTCGCGTTTTTAGGATGTGATCCCTCTAGATGTCACAATTTTTATCCGATTTAAAAAAAACGTTTGAATATATCACTGTTACACCCTTATGATGGTTGAGTCTGAATTTCGTACAAATCGGACCAAAACTACTGGACAAAATGGCTGCCCATCATCCGCAAATATTGTACATGTGGTATATCAAGGTTTTGGACCCTCTAGAGAGAGGACACAATTTTGATCCGATTTTGATGAAACTTGAAATGCATTTTTATAACCCAAAGATCTTGGTTCCTTTCAATATTCATGCGTATCGGATTGTAACTTCCTGAATTATGGCCCTTGATTGTACGAAAAATCACTTCTTTTTTGAGCTTGTTCTCTGTCCATCTCTTGCAAAATGTGGGCGTATCTTGCATGGCAACCGCTTGTATATTGATTGAATAAACTATAAGTACTGACAAAGCCGAGTTTTGTCACAATGATCTAATATCTATTGTCCATTGCCACTTCGTTTCTAAACAAAAGTTTTAGCGCCTCCTATATTACATACAGAGTTACGCCCTCTGAAAATCGTTGACAAATTTAGCATTGTTTTGGGGCATGTGCCTTTTTGATAAAATAAAATTACTTCAAGGATTTTCTTTACCAAAATAGATAAATATTATCGAGTACATCACGATGGTAGATACATGTAGTAGTATCAATGTAGGTACAAAATAACACGTTTACAACAGAGATTTCAGTTAAAGAATTTTCGTTCAAAGCAAGTTTCAGCGACAGCCAAATTTACCGATGCAAGTATTGATGTTTGCTCAAAATGTATCCAAGCGTAAAATTTACTTGACCTCAGCACTAACAACCACTGAGATTTTATTAAGAGGTCACTCCTGTTAAGTGGTCAGTCATGAAAATTCCTGTGAGTGGCTGCTTAATACAGATTCTACTGTATATATAATCAATAAGAAATGGGATATAAAGACCTGCTAAACATCAGAAATGATAGGTCCATTTGTATTACTTTATAATGTTGTTATCAAAGAGATTTCTGATATTGTAACATCTAATTAATCACCGTTGATTAAGTATGCTTTGTGATTAACCTTGAATTATGTACACTTTCAAGACAAGAGTTCAAAAGTTTACATGCCAGATTTTATTATTAACGTCAAGATTTTAAAATCTTCATTTCTGTATCAATTTCAGGCCTTAGGTACTGCACAGTGCACATGTACTCTAAAGTGGTTTCTCCCCACTGCTAAAGACCCCCACCACAGACAGGCTAACATTTGTTGGCCAAACAATGTTTTTTGACCAAAAGTTTGCCGGTGTGCGTTGAATTTCAACACAGGCATTTGCTGGCCGACCAATGTTCGCGAGTTCAAAACATTGTTTGACCAACAAATGTCCATGTTAGTCTCGTCTCCATTGAATTTCAACAAAAAAGAGAAACATTTTATACAGAAATCCAATCAGTATTTCGCTAAAGATCACATGGTACAAAAATGTCTGTCGTCATTTCGTTACCTCGTTATGTTTGGGCCAATCGTGTGACATCAACGTCGGTATTTTATGAACAAATGTTGACCATTTGCGGGAAAACTTAAAAAAGGTCTAAAGCATATGTTTTGTTAGACGTCAATAAATGTTATTCAGTCTGGACTGGGCTTTCACACTCACCGTATGAAAACTCCCATTTTGCATGGGCATCAACTGAACCAAAAAATGTCAATACTGATGAATCTTATAAATTCTGTATCACTGCAATAGATGGTCAGTAACTAAAGACAATCTATTGTGGCCTTCCCCAATTAAACTCTGGTGTAATAGGCAAAGAGCTGTATTCAAAATAATTCAGTAAGCTAAACTTGATAGTTTTTCACTGGTTGTTCTTAAGTATATTGTGTTTACATAGCTTGATTGGACTAAAGAGTGCATTTTAGATCATAAGTTCTTTCATTGAATCAAGTTGGGGGGGGGGGGGTTCGGTCCCACGCTTGTAGTAGTAGGATCTCTTGTCCAACCTTGTTTTGGGTTTTTTTTTCCTGGAATCCTACAGTTTCCTATCACTGGTAAAGACCTATGCGCAAGTGAATTATTGAAAAAACATAGTACCATGAGATTTTTTTGGGCAATATTTCTCTTTATTTTGGTCAAGAAATGATATATTTCCATGATGTAATTTTGTATTACAGGCAGCTTCTAGTGAAGTTATGGCAATCAGAGCTGCACGATGTTATGATTTAGAAACACAGTGTATTGTGTTCGCTAATGGAGTACCTTGTACCCTAGAAAACATGAAAGCCACAGGAATGGGACACTATGCCGAATTAACCTACCAGTTTTGTCACAATATGGCTCTCATGCAGACAGATAATGCTGAATATAGTCTACTGACAGCCATTTCTATATTTTCAGGTAAAATATGAGAGTATTAAAAGTATTATCTGCAGTTGTAGTTTAGCCATTTTGTATTCAGTACTTTTAAAGTTTCGCGATTGCTTGTCTAATACCTGCTTCTAAACTTGGTGCTTAAATTTCAAAGTAAGAGCTACGCATAGAACACTGTACTTTAGGTGAGAATTTCTCAATCTGGTTATCTGTGGATGTATTTTTAGTCCAAAATGGAAATTTCTTGGATTCCAATTGGTAGAAGACTGACTGATATGGCTGAGTAGAAAAAGACTGATTTCCAGACACAGGTTTTTCAAAATAAAAATGGTGGCAGTGTTCAAACCAGCGTAACACTACTTAAGTTAACCAAATCACAGGCTTTTGTAAAACGACATTAATTTGAAGCCTAAAGTCGAATACATTCATATTGATATAAACGGAGACATGTAATCAAAACTCAGGGGGAAACCCTTTCCCAAACGGTCAATAAATACCGAAAGGTGAGATACATTTACTGTGTCCGTTTCTCTTTAATTTTCTCTTGTATCAACTCCATTCGGCCAACAAGTTTTACTTGCATCTTTTTGAAACATTGTACTTTCCTACCGGACAGTTTATATATTTATCACCACATAATATATCTTAATCATTAATCACTTACTTAATCAATTTGGGTGATAATTGCTTGATTAATTCCTGTCAGATATATTAACATCTGAAGAATAAAATCCACACCACACCATATCCATTTTCTGAGCACTGTAATATTAATTACAGGCTATATGATATATAAATAATTATCCATAATTAGTATCACAAATTCTTCAACTATAAATTATTTGATTACACGATAGTTACATCAGTCGTCAAGATTTTATTCTCGCCTCCATTATAATCATATCTAAAATGGATCATTTTTTGACACACCCTCTGATCATTTGTTGTAGTAGAGGTGCCCTATAAATTCATAATTAACATAATTTACAGGGTATAAATTATAAGTCATTGTGGAGTATAAGTTTTATCATCTTATTTAACAGTTTTTCTGTCCTCTGTCCATAGATAATTCGAATCGATGACGGTGGGTGAGATTTTGGCTCGCTAACATGGAGGTCCTGTGTTCGATCCCTGCATTGGTCGAGAAAGTTGATCAGGATTTTACGGCATGGTTCCTCCTTGTCAGTGGTGCAGGACAGAGGGTTTGGCAAGTGACAACGTATAGTCGTTTGCAGGCATCGATATTTCCGCGCACATGCGCACGGCGTGCGCAGGCACATTTGCTTTAAAAAATTTTTTTGCAGGCACATTGTGAAAGATGTAGCCACGCCGGGCACTATTTTTTGCCGCCCAGCACAAGAAAAAATCGAAGAAAGCCGCCCAGTCGTATTTAAACCCCTTCGTCCTTCTCTGTACACAAACTCGACGCTCGAAATTTACCGCGGCATTTAAACGGCAAAGCCATGGTAAAAGTTAAACTAAAAGCAGACGTACGCAAACCATGTCTGTCACGGCATAATTTATTTTTGTGTGCCGTAGTAGACCCTATCATCCCAAATTAGTTTAAAGAAAGATGTATTGGTATTTTGATTATTTATACTTAGAAGATGTTTAGGCCTAGGTATATTCAGGTTTGAATGTCGTAATTGTCCAACACGTGCCTGCAAATTTTCATGATGTTTGTTATTTTATTGTCCCCCGCCTTTCGAAGAAAGCAGGGGACTATTAAAATGGGTTCGTCCGTCTGTCCGTCCGTCCGTCCGTCACACTTTTTGGGACACAATAACTCTCTTCCTAATTGAGCTAGAATGTTCAAACTTGGTGTATGTGTTTATTAGGTCAATGCCTTGATGGAGTTCGAAGATGAGCATTTTCCGCTTAGGGTAAGCAGAGATAAGCAATTTGATTGGTTGATGCTTTGGGACACGATAACTCTCTTCCTAATTGGGCTAGAATGTTCAAACTTGGTGTATGTGTTGATTAGGTCAATGCCTTGATGGAGTTCGAAGATGAGCATTTTCCGCTTAGGGTAAGCAGAGATAAGCAATTTGATTGGTTGATGCTTTGGGACACGATAACTTTTAATTGAGCTAGAATGTTCAAACTTGGTGTATGTGTTTATTAGGTCAATGCCTTGATGGAGTTCGAAGATGAGCATTTTCCGCTTAGGGTAAGCAGAGATAAGCAATTTGATTGGTTGATACTTTGGGGCACGATAACTCTCTTCCTAATTGAGCTAGAATGTTCAAACTTGGTGTATGTGTTGATTAGGTCAATGCCTTGATGGAGTTCGAAGATGAGCATTTTCCGCTTAGGGTAAGCAGAGATAAGCAATTTGATTGGTTGATGCTTTGGGACACGATAACTTTAGTTCTAATTAAGTGAGATTGATGAAACTTGGTGTATAGATTTATTATATGAATACCTTTACTAAGTTCGATAATGAACATTTTTTGCTGAGGGTAAGCAGAGTGATAAGCAATTTGATTGGTAGAAACTTTGGAACACAATAACTCTCCTTCTAATTGAGGTAGAATGTTCAAACTTGGCATAGGTGTCTATTAGGTGAATGTTTAAACTTGATGTATATGTAGATGTTCATTAGGTGAATGTCTTGACTGAGTTCAATAATTAACATTTCGAGCTGAAGCTAAGCAGAGCTAATCGATTTCATTTGTCGATGGTTTGGGACAAGATAATCTTGATTCTATCTGATAGAGAGTGATGAAACTTAGTGAAAAAAATAAATGTGCGATTAATTAATATGTGTCATCTATTTATTTTACAATTTCGGCGGGGGACATCAGCCTCACTGTTGGCTTGTTTCTTACCTGTGTTGACCGTGGATTTGCCAAGGCCCGAGAGTAGGACTAGGAGAACGATGAGAGCTTTCTCAGTTTCTGCCTGACCTGATTCTCATTCCACCGTAATAATAAATAATATTCGTGAGACACGTACAACAACTTTACAAACAAGTCAAATAATACAACGTGTTTTAATTATCAATATCTACCTGTTGTCATAATTCGTTGTACTCAAATAAAACACAAACACCGTTTTAAGAATCGTTTTAATTTTTAATCTCAAAGTAATATTTGAAAAAAAAAAAACCCCAACAAAACAACAAATACCGAAAGGTCCTCATATCCAGAGAAACAGCTAGAGTGGGGCGGGACAATTTTATGCTCGGTCGGGTGGTGTCAAAAAGTTTTTAGATCCCTGTATCATTGATGAAAATTAAGTGAATTTGGTAAAATTTGAATATATAAATGGAAATTTGATTTGCACTGAACCAAATACAAAAGGCAGCAGATGCTCTGAAAATACACCAAGAAGGGTTTAATTTTCATAAAAGACCACGCCCCCCTCCCAAATATTTTTTTGCCTCGCTCCGCTTGCCAGATATATTTATACACCACTCACCAAATCATGGCTACATCCCTGTGTTTCAGTATGACCCTGCAGGCACATTTTCAAGTGTGTGCGCAGGCACACTCAACTTTTATAGAGCCCTGGTTGTTTGGATGGTACGACAAACCAAGGTCCCATCTTCACATTGATGTGCACGTTAAAGATCCCATGGCAGTTGGAATTCAAAAGAGTAATGCCGCTGTCCGGGCATAATTTCCTTTGTAGCACACTGTTTGATGTATGCACACCTTCATTTACCCTGTCGGAGCTAGTTACAGGGAGAACAAATTTTGTTTTACCTTCATCCATATATTAGTCGATGGGGGATGGGGTTACAAGTCAAAAACCTGACTTCTGCTGAAAAAAGTCAAAAACCTGACTTCTGCTGAAAAAAGTATATATTGACTTATGCCCTGAAAAATATGTTATATTATATGTAGAAATAAAAAAACTGTATGTGTTTGTTTATTTTCAGAACGTCCCGGTATCATAGAAAAGGATAAATTAGAAGAGGTGCAGTTTCGCTATGTCCGTGCTTTAGAATCGTATGAACATTTCAAACGACATAAAGGTGTGTGTTCATTTGGAAAACTTCTGAGTCGCCTTCCAGATTTACGTTCAATAAGTGCTGAACATTCAAAAACTATTTTAGAACTGGAACAGGCACCTCTTGCCTCGGGTTCTATAAATGCCGGTGAATACAAAGAGGTAAAAGACATCTATATGGATCCTCCTGAGGGAACATAACTTAATGACAAGGGAATAATTCTAAATTGTGGAATAAAGTGATATGAACATGACAAAAGGTTGGATATGCTCAAGGAATTTATTATGTTACGGAGTGATCAAATCACTTCCAAAGTGTAGTAAACATATAAAAAAAAATAACTGGGCCTGGAGCCAAAAACTTTTATTTTGCTCAACTCAAATTTAATGGTTGTTTTTATTCCACAGGTAAAGTGCATTTTAGACCTAGAATGGTTTGAAAATTTGAGTAAATCTTAAGTTGAGTAAAATAAAGTTTTATAGCGTAGAAATATTAAGAATATAACATTTTTGTTTTGATTTTGGTGGACAGAAGCTGTTATTGTTATGTAATTATAATTGGTCCAGGTAATTTTTGTCAAATTGTATATAATTGTTAATATATCAGTGATTGATTGTATATAATGGAGTCATTAATGGACTCACACCATCTTGATATCATGGCCAAAAGGAATATAGACAAGTTCATTTTCTTTATACAGTGTATGTTTTGATTTCATCTTAATGGGCATTTTTCAACTAATTTTTATGAAATTGATAAAAAAGAACAGGTATATAAAAATTTCTGCTTCCAAAATCTGGTTAAAATATTACAAAAGATTTAAGTAGCCATTGTGTGACGTTAAGTTTTAAAAAGGTTTAAAAATTAGAAAAAAGGAACTTTCATCCGACAGGAGAAGTGGAGCTCCGATACCTATTAATATTCACAAAAAAAAAAACAGTACTAGAACTAAAACACCTTTACCTTGAAATAGATGAAAATGTTTCTAAAAGCACATATTAATGTAATATGAATGTGTGTAATGAAAAGTGATTTATGTTCAATTTTGGAAGAAAAAAAAATATTGTAATTTTTAATCAATTATGTTTGTTGAAGTATGTGAACAGTTCAAATTGAACTGCAGTCGTTTACACCGGCTTAGTGCATTCTACAGGGTTTTTTTTATCATTATTTTGTCATTTGTGACTCCGCCTTTACTCATTACTTCCACATTGTGTTGTAGGATATGTTTTTATTTGTTCATTACAAAATGGCACCCAAAACCAATGTTAATTGTGCCTTAAATATTGGATATTAGGATCCTATATTTTCACAGCAAGAATTTTCAGTTCTTTTTGTGTAGTCTAATTAGTAAAGATAAAAGTTTTACTTGTCCAAAACAAAGAAAGTAAAAAGTTTCCAGGATAGGACACTCATGTAAAACCATGTCACAGAATTCAAAACAGTTGACAAAAAGAAGTCATCATTTTTCTATGATATTGCTACTGGTCTGGGTCAGTCAGGGTTACACATTACATGGACAATACCATATTGATGTACCGTAGAAGACGACACAAATGGCAGTGGTAAAAATTATAGAATAACATCTTTTAGTTCAAAGGGCATAATTTTATTTTTTCCTAATTCATATAAAATAAAAGTAAATTTAAGAGGATATAAGCAGATATGAAAGTAATTCTCAAAGAAGTATATTTTTAACAAAATCTTAATCATTATTAACTAAAAGTTGATAATGTAAATAGATATGAACTTGTGAATATGATATTAAGTATTCTGTACAGGATGATTGTGAATAGCAATAATATTTTCCTTCTTTAATGAAGTTGCCTTTTGTGTAATATAAGGTTAATTAATTATTATATGTGAGCTTTACATAAAGTTAGCCAGTCTCATCCCGGTTCCTAGAAAAATAGACTACTAGTAGATGACACTGTCAGAAAACCATTGGTTACTCTTCTCATTTGTGTAATTTTGGTGTGATTGCCCACCAAGTTGATGATAGAGCCAATAGTTTTCTAAGAGTGTATATAACATATTAGTTAGACTGTTGTAAATTTGTAGATATTGACTGCTAAATATAATAATAATTATTGCATTTATATACATGTAGAGCAAAATTTCAAAGTAAAATCTGTTCTATGGGCATATTTTGTTTTAGGTTGATTTTTTCACCAACAAACTATGATTTCTAGAAAAGTTACAGATTTCATATGATTATTTTTTAACAGTGATTAAATTATCTTGCATCTTTGTTGAGCTCAAGTTGTATGTTGGGATGTGTGGTGTGAGTTTACGCTTTAAATTGTTTTGACTGTGATGCAGTGGTACATGTGTGACTTGTTTCAGATTTGTAAGCAATTATATATATATATCGAGAATGGTTCTTATAATTTGAAATTCAGAAGATTATTATATTCCTAAAGCCATGGTAACAAGCATTATCATTAAATGTTCATAACCATTGCTTCAGGATTAAAAAACAAGCTTTATTTGTGGTGGACGGAGAAGATAACAATTTCGAAATTAGATGTCAGTTTGAATTGAATTTTACAAATTGAGAGGGAAATATGATAAATAATAAAGTTTTTAGAAAGGGGTAAACTTTTAAAAAGCCATAATTAAGTAGTTTATTCGTAGTGACAAAAACAATTTATTTTTTAGTATGGCTCAGGCAGTAGTTTTATAACAGATATCTGTAGACTGCTTTATACATTTACAAGCTTATAGAAATAGATATAAGGATTAATACGTAATTAAACCCGTGTTGTGCTTCAATCAACAGTTCACATATAAACTGCCTGTAAGATATGTGTCTATGACATTTATGATCACAAACAACCTTGTTTTATAAAAAATAATGTCCTTTGCCAATAAAACAGAGGTACGTCTTCTGATATAGAGTTCATGCCTTGAGGCCATTACACTCAAACCTAGAACAACGATACATTAACGTCTTCGATTTCCAGGTTATACAAAGTCATCAATGTACATTTAATGTTAAGGTTCAGTTATTTGAAAATCTTTGTCAAAGAAATAAAATCCTAGTATTACTTAGATACATGTAGACTGTTGGCTCTTGCAACTGTCTGTCCTAAAGGTCAAGATTAGCCTACGGTCATTATATGATGTTTGTCCTGTCATCATATAATTGTTAATATTATTATGTCATGAACTCAAAGCAGCTACCGTATTCACTCTGTTAAACAGTCATCATTACTTAAAATAACCAGGTTTGCTCTGCTAAGCTAATTATTCTTACTACTAAAGCATGCTTTTGTAGTTTCTGTGTAGAAAATAAACACTTTTGTTTATAATTGATTATCATTACTAGGAAAATAAGTAGATTTTAGTCCGATTTTTATTCTTTACTTGAGTAAATATTGTGTTAAAAGACATCAGTAAATATATGATTAAAGTAAATCAAACATGAGTGTTCAAAGAGAAAGAATCTAAAAGACACCTTGTATATTTTGAACCATAAAAACTGGGACACTTTAGAATATCAAGGAAAATGATCATTCGATGAAGCTACATTCTAGGGCAGACATACATATTTTTTTCACCCGATTGCGACAATTTTTAAAATCACCCGAACAAATTGTCTGTTCACTGTGACAAGGATTCTGCTCGGCGAACCATTCACCCGACAGATCGTCCTCATCTAGCATGTTAGAGATATTTTATGCTGGCGATCGATTCGCTTGCATATCCGCTCGTCTGCCCGTGTACAGCTTATATTGTCAAGTGAACCATTTTTGTAAGCCAATCAGAGACATCATTGATATCACATGATCTCAAAATGGCTAGCTCCACTGCCAAAGCGTGGAGACTGACGAAAGAAGAAGAATTGGTGATTCTTTCGTCAGAAAAGCCCTTGCATGTGTGACGTCACGATTCCAGAGTTTTAGAAGCAAATACATAACAGCTACCACAGAAATCTTAAGTTTTCAACGATTTGCCATTTCGTACAAGTCACATGATCAACGTAACTTACTCGCAGAGTGGTGTACGCTCTTGAAACGACCGCTACATGTGGCCGCTCATGATCAGCCATGAAAAAATTGCTGCAATAGGTGAAAATCTACGCTCGTCTGCCCATAGCTCTATATAATTAAACATCAATTCCTTAATTAACATCTATAAGTATTTTTAACTATTCACACTCAAAAAAAAATCACACAAGGTATATAACTATTTAGTACTTCTTTTTTATTAAAATAAAGTTTGTAACACATTCAAATCACATTTTGTTTGATGATGTTTTATAACACTTGAAAATGTAACCTGTATGTGCTACTAAACATTGTTTTTAAATAATATCTTAATTGTTTTTGATTTGAACATTTAAACATGTAAATCGTAATTTAGAATAATTATGTTTTGAAACATTTTAATCTAAAAATTATGGCTTCTATAATTACTGATGTCTTCTAATATTTAGATTTAATTAAGGAATAGGATGTAATAAGGTCACACATTATTCATATTAATTATATAATATAATACATTTAAGCAATAAATAAAGACATATGTTGTATCAATGTCATTTCTCATATAAATATTGACCCAGTCATTTGAACTTTGACCTTTACACTGTGTTCATGTACATTATATAATATATTAAATCATCAAATGACACTGTTATCAATCGCTTATCAGACTGTTCTTCAAGCTGTGTGTTCACTTTTCACAACTAGTACTACATATTATTTGCTTGGTTTCTTTCTCTTAATGATACATTATTCAAGAGCTAAATCTGCCTATTGCCGGTCTTTCTTTAAGCCTTAAATGTTATATAAATTATTAATTAGACATTTATTAACATGACAAGACCATAATCAACTCTCGATGTCAATGGATTCTTGATATTTTAACTAGATTAGATGATTTAATTTTAAAATGGGAAGGACGGCTAAGTCTTGAATATACCAGTACCGTGGTTACAATAACAATCAACCAATGCACATAACTTGTGAAAATACAAACAGTGATAACTTGGCTCCGAATAAAATATTTTGAAAGAAATTTTCAATGTATTCATTTTGCATTATCGATTTTTGAACTATTATAGCAATAACAGCCAGCTCTTTATCTAAATCTTACATAATGTATCTTTAAGTTTTACCGGATTATCTTTTGAATAATCTCAAAGCTTAATACCCCTTAATAGTATGCAAAGTTTACCTCGTCTGAAACTTACCTCGTCTGAAACATACACAACAGTTAACTCTAGTATTTTATATATTATTTAACATGTGAAGATGTTCCATGAAATTTATGTCTAGTCATATGATTTAGAAATATATATTTCTTTGACAGAAAGCATGTTCAAATTTTCGGTAAAATATATTTGTGGACAAGCTACAAATTGTAACTTAGCAGCCATGTAGCACACATACTGGGCCATGAGTGGTTGACAAATGTTTAATTTATTGTGGGCCTAATTGTGCTCCCAGGGAACATATCTTAATGGTTAAACCATATGAGTACTTTTAATTTCTTTATGAATTGAATGTGATCACTGACAATATTATGAATATCATACACCCAATAATTCAGGTTTTATAATTAATACATAGGTATGTTTATTGCTTTGTGTACTGATAATTTTTCCAATTTAATACGACAGGTATTTCACTTAAGTCAAATGTAAAGTTGTTTAAACTAAAGGGTTGTATATCAGGGTCTTTTTCTATCACTGTCGGGCAATATTTTTTCAAGCAGTAGCATTAACAAGACAGTAGTTCGAAGCCAAAGAATTAAAGGGATTAACTTTCATTTTGTTTTTTGTTACATAGATGTTTTATACAGTAAATGTACATGTATGTGTAATTTTTAAGGTTCACTACAAATATGGTAACCTGTAACGTACATATATATTTCATCTGTGTGTAACAAGGAAGATGTAAAGTTTAATTTGTTATTTCATGCTGTACATTGTTGTGTTATTTAGATTTATTTCTTGACAAATCTTAGAAGCAGTTTTGCATTTTAATTGTCTTCTAAAATGCAAAAGAATTCAACAAATGCTAGTGAATGTTCGAGAAATCAAAAAGCTATGTTGGCAGCTATTTTAAGTGATGTTTTTAAAAGATTTGTAGGGGATGAAAGTGCTTAAGTGGTTGTGATTCAACACTATTAAAACGATATGCATACAATTGGACTTTGACGTACAATAGTGTGACATTAACTGCTGATCTGTCTTACTTTTAAATTTTAAGTTAAAATTGGCTATCCTGCTCTCTCTGTATATGTTTTACGCCGAACTTCAGTACGGTTTCCAATGGTAACAACCGCTAGATTAGGTGATTAGGTTTACTATATGTATTTAGTCTTGATTACCCTTGTTATTGGTCTATGAGATTTGGTTCAGGAACAAGTCTTTCAGTAAAGAATTCATCTTTTTCCTGGAAACAGCTTTGTAGTGATCAAATTAATTTAGATATTTGCACACTTATGTTAAATTGGGATGGTCATAATCATTATACATATAACATTAATATAATTCCTGCATATGTATATTGTGGCAGACGTTATAAATGGCAAAATTATGAAATGAATGGATGGCATCTTAGAATATATAGTGTAGGATATTCTTATATATATATATATCTGTTAAATACATTTTAAAAGCTTGGAAATGTGGTTGTATTGTTGTCTTGACCATCTGTTTGTCCGTCCACATGTACAAGTAAGGGTTTTGTCTATCACAAATTTGTTTCTGGGAATATATTCGGTTACCATTTTTTGACACATAAAATACAAAAAACAAAAATGCACTGATGTTGCGTTTTTTGCCATTTACAAATTTGAAAGAAAAAAAACAACATGTTTTTACTTAAAGTAGTTGGACTCATTCTGATGGAGGACAATATTGCTTCAAGAGATGAACTGAAAAACAGAATGTCAGAATCAAAACAAAAGTATATTGATCTAAAAATCATTTAATTTTATAATAATATCTATATTCAATTCTTGTATACACTACAAAAAGCTACATGCCTGAGTATGCAAGATGCGCTCGCTTTTATGCTGTCTTAAAGACTTAACTGTGTGAAGATGACGTTGGTCGTGAGTTTTATCACCAGACACTACCAGGTACTTACTCCATAGCATTGTGTTGTAGACAAATTTTCACAAAATTTACGAAAGAATATGATTCCTTGTAATTTAGAACTGTTTTGCTTAATATATTCCTGACTTATTGACCCTGATCCTGAAATATTGTGCACTCTAAATATTGTAGTATGACACAAACGATAAAGCAGTTGGCAGAGGCGGACATGTATTTATTCAAATGGCAAAAAAACGGAATCTACATTCCAAATGACAAATTTGTAGGGTTTGGTCAAATTTAATTGATTTAGTTGTATTGGCTTCTTTACTAAAGAAATCAATCAATAGCGCTTAAAAATTGTTTGGTCAAATTTAATTGATTTAGTTGTATTGGCTTCTTTACTAAAGAAATCAATCAATAGCGCTTAAAAATTGTATTTAGTTTATATATCTTATCTGTTTCTAGGAATTTAGCTAAAACTAATATTGTTATTGTTGACATGTAAATTTATAAATTATTTCTTTATTTTGTACATATCGAATTAACGTACCTAACCACTATTTGAATAGTTAAAAGTCTCATCAATCATTTGTGAACCATGTATATTTCTTTTATCAAAAGGCAGTGTATTGGGTTTAATAGCGGCATAATTTTTGCCTTCTGTTTGATTGGATCATGTGATCACATAGTATCAGGATAATGGTATGTTTTCTGACAACTACAAATTTTTTTACTCAAATTTGTAGTTTTTTCACCACAAGTCCTAAATAAATGACTATCCTTTGCATGTAGTCAATATAGAATAGTAAGATGTTTATAAGACAGTTTACATACCACCTTACTTACACCACTTTTCATTGATTTGGAAGACTCTTATAGCTAATAATGATTGTTGTACATTTTGTATTTATATATATATATGTTATACGATAGTGCTAACTCATCCTTTCCAAAATCCTTTAGGCAGGGAAGATGCCTAATTGTCCCTGTACTGAAATGAGCTTTTTAGGAGTGAAAAAGAAATAAATAATCTAAGTCTGCAAAGGGTAATCAGGTCCCTGCAAGAAAACACATGTATCTGGGAAGTGTATACATAGGAAAGAAATTCATTTATTAAACATATTTTGTTACTATTGTTTTAGAATTAAGACTGTTTTATTTGGTTTGTATTTTGGTTTTATGTTACTTTTCGATGATTTTCATGATTATCTTTACATCATGTTGATAGAGTTGAAAAACTAAGATTATACCAGTTAGTCTTGATGACTACTCCAAGATACTACTTGTGTAGAAGAAATAACAGTTCTGTCAATACTAAGAGACCGCTGCAAAATTTCAACACTTGCTTCCAAATAAATAACCCTTAGAAATGGGTGGGTGGGTTAATGACATCCCATATAGAAAATGATCAACTAAATGACGGTTATTATTTAATCATGATTAGAAATATGCCATTATTTTCTTACTCCGTTGGTTAAGATTGGGTAAGTGAGGGTTTTCAAGATCTATTCACAGGTTATACATTTTAGATTTATGTGTTGAAATTTTGTGACAGTCCTTAAATGAATTGAAATTCAGCTAATGCATAAATGTGAAATGAACTCACATTGGTCAGTATTAACTGTATAAGTCTTCTGTGTAGTCTTATCATTTCAATTACTTATTATTTCAACACAATACACATTAATAAGGGGTGACCTATCAAAATATGATTTGAAACGAATTATCTATAATAGAGATTTGGTTTTGAAATAATAAGGGGTGACCTATTCAAATATGATTTTAAACTTATTGTCCATAGCAGAGATTTGGTTTTTGAACCTCATAATTTAAAAAAATTCAACATCTTAACAGGTTGTTCCTGACTATAATATATATTTTTTTATATAGTTAAATTTTATAATGCGAAAGATTTTATTCAGACGACTTGTGTTTCGAAAAAGGTCGACATTTTTTTTGTTTTAACTACTTTTTATTCTACACTCAAATAGTTTTGCTAACAACATTTTTCATTTTTTATCACTACTTATCTATTAGAATACTTTATGCTTTGTTGGTTATAACTTTTAATGTGTTAAGCTCCTTGAAAAGTGTTCATTGAAAACTGTCTTGAGTGTGATTGGCTTTCATTTTATATAAAAATTTAATTGTAATGAAGTATAAAATAAGAATCTATTAGCCTCATTAGCTAAGAGATAAGTATTTAACTTGTACATATATGATCAATAAATATTTTAAAATGTCTACTGTTTGTTTGATTTGATATCTCTCTAAATATCTTGTGTTGATGTGTCTCAAGGTGACTGTGGGTCATCCTCCAATGAGGCAAAATGTACCTCATTTGATTTTATCTGAAAGTGTATTCCCCGGTGGTACGTGACAAGGAGTAGGGTCGCCTGTCTAACTTTGTGGGTCTTCTCCGGTCCCTCCCACTGCTAAAGACCCCTACGTGCAAGCGAATGATTGAAATAAAATTGACCCATGTGTTAGTCCCGAAATGACCTAGTTTGTGTCCAGCGGACAAACCTCATTTCTCTCTCTCTCTCTCTCTCTCTGAAATTGCTGATCAGTTGAATAATTCCAGAGATATGGCTCATTCAATTTTGGAGATTTCGGCAATAATGGACATGGCTGCCAATATTCAAATGATTATAACTCTGCATACGTTTTTCATGCAAAACAAGCATGGGATTGTGGCATATTTTTTTTTCCATTTTAGGGGTGATTTGACACAATGATCTCTGTGTGTCATGAGGTTGGACTAGTGACTAGAATGTACCAGTTTGGTTTAGGATTTTTGTCCTATAGCAGAGGACTATGAAACTGGGTTCATCGGTTGTTCTCTTTGTCTATCCTCGTACTTTTTGAGACACAATAACTCTGCTTTTAATTAAGATAGAATGTTCAGTCTTGGTGTACAAAATGTAGGTGTTCGTTAGTTGAGGTGTATAGTGTAATATAATTAGGGATTGATGTCATATCAAGTTATTATGTTATAGGAATATGATAAGTCTTATCTAAAAGTTATGTTAGATTACATGTTTATTTAAAACAGAATTAATTTGTTTTCAAACTTTATGATTTAAAACAATATGTTTTGTCATTGTATCTGTGATGCATCTACAGTCAAGGCCCACTGTCGAACCATAAAATATATGTCAATTCCTATTTACAGATCCATATCTGGCTAATTCTTTTGCATCATTGGGCATATTTAAGTCAATGATTGCAAAAATGTGACGTCCAAGAGTGGAGAGCTGCAACAGTATACATACCTAGACGATTAGTGGCCAAAACAATGTTAAGGAGGGATAGTGTTACACCTCGGGTTTGGCAGGCTTAATTGTGGTCTAGCTTCAATGTTCGACTGGCTATGCTTCAATACATTGACTTCAGTTAAATAATGAGCATTTTCTACTTTGGTTAAGCAGAGATAAGCGATTTGATTAGTCAAGACATTCGGACACAATAACCCGGCTTCGACTTGAGGAAGAATATTCAATCATTGTTTTCCTCCACTAGATGTTCTGGGTTAAATTATAGTGGAAATGCTGAATATTAATTATAAAAGCATGCCTGTCGAAATGAAATTCATAATGGGGGAAAGGGCTGTCAGCATAGCGAGTAAGAAAGAGAAATGGGGTTTAATGTCCAGTCGACACCAACCAGGTCATCTCAGGACACCTCGTGGGTTTTCTCTGGGTCCTCTGGTTTCCTCCCACTGCTAAAGACCCCTACGTGCAAGCGAATTATTGAAATAAAATTGAACCATACGTTAGTCCCGAAATGACCTAGTTTGTGTCGAGTGGACGTTAAACCCCATTTCTCTCTCTCATCTCAAGACTAACGGATAATTCAATTTTATTTCAATAATATGCTTGTGCATAGGGGTCTTTAGCAGTGGGAGGAAACCAAAGGACCCAGAGAAAACCCACTTACAAACGGGGAATTGAAACCATGCCAATTGACTCAATGACAACCCTTATGATCCAACGTGCACATGCCAACCATTCAGCCACCCACCAACCCCCCTATCAACATTAGCAGGTTCAAAATGGGGCCTGTATTCCTGAAACATTATTTATGCTAGCGTGGGGGGTGGGGGCTGAATTACATTTGACTAAACTGTTTTAGCTTAATTAAATGAATTTTGAAATTCATCAGCCGATTTTAGCAAAATAATACTTCAAAACTATTTATTAATTTAACATAACAGTTATATTCACTGTTTATATAAGTCTTTAAATATTAATTGGGATTAATGAGCTGATAAGCTGAAATGTAATTTATGCATGCCACAGAATACAATGACACAGTATACATATTCATGTGACAATTTAATGGTTAAATAAGAGATATGATATGACATTAATAATAACTTCTATGACTTATTTATAATGCATTTATGAATATAATGACATTATTTATTATTGATTGGCTATCATTTAATCTAGATTCTTTATAATTTTAAATAACCATTTAGAAATTCGTAAAAAATGTTTAGAATCATCAAAAGGCATTTGTTATGTACTGCTGCTTACTATAAAGTTGACTACTTAATTAACCGGTGTGTTCAATTGCGCAAAATGTTCCTATTATTTACCTCCAGTAATAGATCGATATACCCTCTCAACCATAGATGCGATACGGTGACACGTTGTGGGATAATTTTCAGAGTCGGAGGATTATTTCATTTTTCACAACCGGGACTTGGGGAATTTTTTGCTTCTTGCATAATACGTTTCAGGGGTATCGTAAATAGTTACAGAAATTGTATGTAACATTTTATCATCACTGGCTTCCAGTGCAAGCAAGAATTGACTTTAAATTGATGTTTCTCACATATCAATGCATATACTGTGAAATGCATCTTATCTGAAAGAACTGGTGGTACCTTAAATGCCATCGAAAAATCTAAAATCAAGTATTAAGAACAACCTTGTCGTCCCAAAATATAAACTAAGCTCCTTTGGAGGTCGCTCATTTAGTGTTGTTGCTGCCAATATGTGGAACTCGCTACCTGAAAATCTTCGATCCAGTACATCATCAGACTCCTTTAAATCCAGATTGAAAACATACTTATTTGAAAAATATTTGCAAGAGTGATTATGTGTTTTTGTAGCGCTATGAGTACGACTATATGTGGAATTAGCGCGATATAAATGGACTTATTATTATTATTATTAAAAATAACAGCTATTGTCGTTACATAATTGCAAATATATTTATTAAAGTTAGCACTGTAGGCCTATATAAATTAGATCAGACCACATAGCCAGTGAATATTTCTTGATCAAAAGTAAACTTGGTAACTATCTACACAATATACATTTCTCCGAAATACATTCACTTGGCTATTTAATTTAGAACCACTTTCTATCATTTATCACCCTTTCGGCCATTCCAACAAACTAACTCCTACACCGAAATTAATCACCATTATCGCCATATAAATCTAAAAAAAAAAACATAAAAAGCTAGAGATATGTTGAACTAATTTACGGACTCTCCTGCCAGACGATATTTCTGACACTATGCGGGGTATTGACAGGTGCTTCCCACGTTCATTTATTCATTTTACCAATCTGATTAAAACACAGATCCTATTTCGTTTCGTTTTTTTATAGTTGAAAATTTCATTTAACTTGTTGTAGGCCATCGAAAGTGTAAAAAACAAGCCAACAGTGAGGCTCATGTCCCCCGCGGAAATCCGAAAATAAACAGATGACACATATTAATTAATCGCACATTTATTTTTTTCAAAAGTATCGAGCAATCAAACTGTATACTAAGTTTCATCCCTCTCTACCAGAAAGAATCAAGATTATCTTGTCCCAAAGCACCGACCAATGAAATTGATTAGTTCTGCTTAGCTTCAGCTCGAAATGTAAATAATTAAGAACTCAGCCAAGACATTCACCTAATTAACATCTACATGAAGATTAACCATTCTACCTCAATTAAAAGCAGAGTTGTTATATGTTCCAAAGTCTTGACCAATCAAATTGCTTATCGTTCCTTAGCCTAAACAGAAAATTCTCACCATTGAATTTAGTCAAGGTAATTTAGTCAATCTATATTCCGAGTTTCATCGCTCTCACCTCATTATAACCAAAGTTATCATGCCTCAAAGCATCAACCAATCAGATTGCTTATCTCTGCTTAACGTAAGCAGACAATGTTATCATCGGACTCCATCAAGACATTCACCTAATGAATGCCTACACCAAGTTTGAAAATTCTACCTCAATTAGAAGGAGAGTTATTGTGTTCCAAAGTCTCGACCAATCAAATTGTTTATCGCTCTGCTTACCCTCAGCAGACAATGTTCATTATCGAACTCAGTCAAGGTATTGATGTAATAAAACAGATCAAAGTTATCATGTACAAAGTCATTGACCAATAAAATTGCTTATCTCTGCTTAGCCTAAGTAGAAAAGGTTTACTATTGAACAAAGACAAGGGATTCGCCATTAAACAGCTACACCAAGTTCGAACTGTCTAACCGAATTAGAAACACCTACACCAAGTTCGAACTTTCTAACCAAATTAGAAACAGAGTTATTTTATCCCAAAATGTGTGACAAACAGGACGGACAAACCATTGTGGAAGTCAATAACACTTAAGGATGTAAGTCAACGTCCTACTGTTTTGCTCCGAACTGTGCTAATGAAGACGGAGTCAATGAGAAAGTTACACAATCAAGGCATTTCACAAACCAGTTGGAAAGAGTGAAGTGAAACAGTCTCTAATGAAAGCATCAAGGAAAAAATAAGAAATGACTTTATAAAATGATTGATATTTATTACCTGACTGTTTACATAATTTATTATAATAAAAGATGGTAATAAAAGTGAATATATCTGTAACAATACACATACTCTGTATTATTTATAGTAAACAATTCAAACATATATTCCTATAAAGAGCCATGATCCTAATTACATATCTATTGACTTCCTTTCTTCTTTAATCCATTGTGGATTTGAATTACATACTGTGAAAGGGAGTGGTTCAGAGAGTAAGATTCTGGACTACTAACCAGGAGGTCTTGGGTTAGCTCCCGGTATTGACCGAAAAAGTTCCCCGGGATTATCCGGTGCGGTTTCCCCTTGTTACTTATGCAGAACAGGCGTATAGGGGTCTGGCAAGTACAGTGACCAGTCATTCGGTTGGGCTTAAAAAAAACAAGGGCCTGTTTACACATTGGCAAGCACATAAAAGAACCCTTGACAGTTGGAACTCAAAATAAGAGTAGGCCATAGCACCGCTGTCCAGGCAAATGTACCTCATAGCACATTGTAGGGTGTAAGGCCGTCTTCATAAGCCCAGGCGGTTCAGAAAAGAAGGACTTAAACAACCCCATTTCATTTCTAACAGTAAAAAGTAATTTCATTCCATAATTACTCCCCCCCCCCCTCTATCTCTCTCAGTCCTAATTTTCAGATATAAATAAGTTCTGTGGTCCAATATTGTTCATCAACGGAATACATCTTTAAATAACACAATGAATTCCCTCTAGGGTTAGTTAACAATCTGATTAAAATACAGATCTATATTTCGGTTTTTTATACTTTCGATGGCCTACACTACACGAAGATCTGACCAGTTGTCGCGATAGGTCGCATTAGAGGTCATACGAGTGGCTTTTGACCCTATGACATCAGACAATTGATTAACCAATTAGCAAAACACGCCTAAAGCTCATCATAACAGACCGTTTCATTGGCTAATACCTCACACCATTCAGAATACGCCAATGATAACAACTCTTCCAGATCCTAGTGTAGTAAAGACAAGTAAAACGAAATTTTGAACTATAAAAACGAAACGAAATAGGATCTGTGTTTTAATCAGATTGGGTTAGTTAGCTTCCAAGGACAAACAATGAATGAAGTATTGTGAAACAAAAATGATAAATATATTAACATTCTACTTAGAAAAAGTTAAAAGTCTGCGTAATACAAATTAACACCCCTTTAAATTAAAGCCATAAAGCAACTCAATCACAAAAATAATATACATGGCGCCGAACACATCTTTGTATATGTATAATCGGTCGACCCCCAAAGTGAAGGTCATAAGATATACATTTCAATTTTAGCAAATCACAAATTGATATTATTTAAAAAACATCTTTTTTTTATGAAAGACTAAATAAAATATTTATTTTACAATTTTTTCAAAATTATCCTAAAAAATATAGGAGATTCCAATTTGATACATCGAGCCCTAGGTGTAACAAGTTGTTTTAACTCATTAGGTACCAACTTGACAACTACATTTGACATAATAAATTACCAAATCACCTGCTACCATGTGGTTGTAAATGTGGCTCAGTAATTAAGGAGCTAGCACACTCCAAGAAGTTCCGCTGAATTTTGCAGTGTACTTCAGGACAGAGGGTCTGGCAAGGAACAGCATACAGTCTTCAGATAGCATGTAAAACCAAGGTACCAAGTGCATGCGGATGGCATGGTTGTAAAAATGAAATGAAATGGGGTTTAATGTCCTACTCCGAATGGGCTAACGAAGACGGGCATACACCATGCAGTGTGTTATGAGGAAATTTTGCCCAGACAGTGGCGCTACGGCCAACTCTTATATCGAATTCCAACTGCCAAGGGATCCTTTACGTGCACTCCAATTTGTACACAGGACCTTGGTTTTTAGTCCCATCAGAACGACTAGACAGCTGTCGTTGTCAGGCCCTCCGTCCCGCACCACCGACTAAGGGAATCCACACCTGAAAATCCTAATGAACTTTCTCGGCCAACACCGGGATAGAACCTGCGACCTCCAGACTAGCTAGCCAGCATCTTACTCACTTAGCCACTGTGGCTCCCCTGCAGGTAAAAGAACTCTCGACATTTCGAATTCGATGAAGAGCAGAGTAGGCAGAAAAGCTGCTGTAAGTACAAAATGTCCCTCACAGTTCACTGTTTGATGCAGAAAAGTAGGACGTTAAACCCCATCTCATTTTATTTCATTTATAACAGTAAATAATGAAATAATGACCAGACGAATGCAAATACATTGAGTTATATGTCTTACAATGACAACTGAGTATTAAATCAACCATGCTTACTAGTTATAGGGCTTTAATATATCACAATGTTATAACATCATAGTAAAGTGGCTTTTGGTAATTTGACACCTGCATTATTTTAGTCTGGTACCTAAAGTGTTCAAGATATTTTCTGTCTCTGATAATTAAAATTTCTCTGTAAATGTAAGGAGAGGAATTATTATGTATACACACAAAAATTATCAACTTTTTCATTTGCATTGACACTATAAAAACCAACCAACCAACGGAAATAAGAGCTTTGATGGCCTAATAAAATATATCCAGTTTATTGTGTATAAATGTATATATATATATATATATATATATATATAGTAATATATACTAGCAGTATATACCAGATATGTGTGCATTTCAGGGTTTCTGTTGTTAAGATATCCTATTAAAATACCGATATCTTAAAGATATATTGTCCCGAAAATATTTATCAGGTGGTTATTTCCAATAAAAGTATGGCAAATTTGCTATATGGAAAGTAGTAGACAACCAATCTTACTAGAAAAAGATTAGATTACCCGAAAAATACCCATGGGGCAAGCACTGAGCAAAAATGCCAGGGTATCAATAACTAGCAACCCGACAGTTGTCTGCCAGCTTACTGTGTGCTAATATAACAGACCCTGCAATTAAACAGAGGAAAAAGAAGTTGACAGAAAATAATTAAAAATTTACAGTAAGTAATGGAAAATACATTCTGAAAAATGGACCCTCCCTCAACGGATTGAGTTGACAGACATGGCGTCTAACAACAGATTATTTATAGCTTAGGTATCTCACCGCAAAAACAAAGTTTTGAGAGATTTGAAGCAAATTAATTAGTCTGAACATTTTTAGTCCAAATATATCCTCAAATCACAAAGTTTGTCACAGGAAAGGATCTTTAAACTATTCACTGTGGAGCGTTATAAATATACCCATGAATATATCCCAGATACTGGCATATATTAACATATATTTCATTTTAAGTAGATACATGTATTTTAAACACTTTTTATTAATCATGTGAAAAATAATTTTAGAAATATCACAGTTAATGAAATATCCATTACTGAAATATCAGTTATGTCTACTGAAATGTCAGTTACTGAAAATATCCATTACTAAAATAACCTTTGTTTTAAAATTGAAATAACTGTGAAATCTTTTTTTTTTTTAAAGTACAGGTCAACAGAGATTATGTCTATTGAAATGTCAGTTACTGAAAATATCCATTACTAAAATATCCTTCGTTATAAAATTGAAATAACTGTGAAATCTTTTTATAAAAGTACAGGTCAACAGAGATTTTACGAGTATTTGTGAAAACTGAACCCACTTCAACTCATCTGTAAAATCAATACATGTGTACATCTATTTATACAAGACCCAAGCACTGACCCAGAGTAGAGCAGTATATAAGATACATGAAAACTCATTATAAAACCACTTGTGGCTATAATTTGATCTTAATGAATCTCAAGACTTTTATCTCAGCAATGGATTGACAGATCTGTTTCAAATTTTGCATACAATCTAATTGAAACCTCCAAGGCACTAATGCCTCTTTAAAGGAGAAATCCAAGTTTTCACTCAGAAGAAAGTTTGTATATTAAAAACCCATTGAACAAAATGTGAAGAAATGTCCTATCTACCTCGTCTACAAGTTTCGGCTTAAAATATTAATCCAATTGGCAAACAGTTTATTTATAGACCTTACCTAACACTTTTAGAGTGCTTGCCTCCAATTTTTCATAACGAGATGTCACGGATGGAACTATTTGACACGGTAGCACAAAGGAGGCTGCAAAGGAGCACTAATCTGCAAAATTGTAGTAAATACCCCCTCAAAAAGATGTCTGAATTAAAGACGGTTCTATTGAGACACTTGGTAATTGCTAGTCAAAGAAGCTCATATACAACTCCCACAACCAATTAAAGAGGTTTGGATAAGTGTCTGGGACTAGAAACAGTGGATTTTAAAGCTTTTTTGACAGAATTAACCATTTTTTATTGACTGAAATAGATCTGGAATTTCTCCTTTAAGTTACAATTAATTTTTAAAAAATCAGGATTAAAGAAAACCCCATCAGTATTGTAGTGAAGAGCACTTTCTCTGGCACAGATTGTAAATGCATATACAATGTACTTCTAAAAAAAAGAAAGGAAAAACTACTTCTAAAAGTGAATACAAAAAAACCTTAAATAATACATGAAACAAAAATACTAAACTTAAAGCAACTACCTTGATTATATATGTAACAATGACTTAATCAAACAAGAAATAATGAAGTTAGTTTTATATTAAAATATATAAATATAATATTTGTGATAGTGAATCAGACAAAAACTGTACGACCTTTACCCCTGACGGACCTACTTTGTCTTAAATTTACAAATGCTTACTATGCACACAAGGTTTACATGTGTAAAGGCCTATTTTATAGGTTTATATCACCCAAGAAAAATCCTTTTAATAATAACACATAACATCATCAAATACCATGCAGCAGATAAAACGAGATGTCTATAAAAACTCTCTGACATATATTCTCAGAATAACTGATGGTTACAGAAATTAGCAGACACACTTACATAATATCCAATTCCATCAGACATTTACTCTGCTTTTGAATAAATCTTTGATTGATGGTTTTGTAATTTTTTTTTCTTAAGACCAAGTTTTCAATTATAATGCTCTTATCTGTTTTTTTAAAAAGAAAACTCAGCCTTAAAGATTGACATTTAATTGGTCAACACAAACAATAAATCACCACAAAAATCATTCTTATCAAAGGCAGCATAAAATTTGATTACCGGTATGTGAAAATACAACATTTGAGATAGAAATCTTAATCCAAAAAATCACAAGAAGTAAAATATATATTTACAAATTCTAAAAAAAAGAAATCTAAATATTTATATTAAAATTACATGTACCTATAATTATTTTTCATTGTACAAATAATAAATATCACAAAAAACAAAAGGAATATTTAAGGCCATACAATATAAATGATTAGTAAACCAGGTCTTGTTACAGATTGACTGGCAGTGAAATTGACCAGGCTGGATAATTTAGATGTCAGTTATTTGACGTAAACGCTATAAAATTACGCATTTTGCAAAATTTAACTTTAAAACACATAAATTACCATTTTTTAGGTATTTAAGTGATTTTATGAACAGAGATAATGGTATAGGTTGTCATATTCTGTGAAAATATTCCCTTGCTAATCTAAGGTTGATCGATTTCAAATATTTTGAAGTGGAGGCACTTTTCCAGAAAAGACCCTGTCCAATTCATTTCTGTTTTGATTTGATTGTAAGTGTGACTCCAAATTATATTGAAGATTAAAACTAGAATTATTTTGGATGAAAAACTAAGTATCTATTTTTGTATGGCCTAACTGAGCTATGTTCACCCAAGTATATGTAATCATGGATTTCTCTTCTATATATGTACAAGAATTTATTCCCCTTTTACAAAGAATTGGAAACTTTAGGATTGATACGATTGATATATGAAACCGAGATACTTTGAAAATTAGCAAACATATGTATAAATAAAACATCATGGTATATTTGTCTTCATATTCTTTTCTGATTATAATAATATTGGGGTATTATGAATGTTTATTTCAACACAAACTCATGTCAAAAAATGCCAGATTTTGACAAATAACACTTCAACGCTTAAGCTTCAAAATTGTGAATCATCATATGGTTACTCAATATATAAATATATTGTAATATATGAATATAAAAGCCCTCACAACCAAAATAGCATACATGTATAAACATTGTATACAAAATAACAACTTTCTATTAATATATGCTACAAAATCATATACATAGAAATGTAGGTATGTAATAATTTATAGCAATGAGATTTTACCCAATAATAATGAAATCTTGAGATTAATTCATTTTACAAAATCCAGTTCTATTTGATTGTAGTCTGAGCATTCAAAATTAGCACTAACCTCTTTTGTGTATAAAATTTAAAACTTCCCTGGTTCAGCCAAAATCAGGGTGCCCAACCATCGATACATCAACAAATTTGTTGAAAACTAGAGAAGTAATAAATTTTAATTTTAAAGACAAAGTATTATTATTATTATTATGAATATCATTTTGGCCATCATACTAGTTTATTGATATTAAAAAAAACAACTACAAAATGATTCATTTCTTGTCACAGAATATTTGTGTCCTGGCTCTAGTGAACAAATGACTAATCTCCAATGAGAGCTCTGTCTATTACTAAATAATGATATTTTTTTTTCCTCAAGACTTGACCAAAGGCAATTTGTAAAGTCACGAGAATATAGAATACCGCTTTGTCTTACTTTCTCTAACTAAAACACTCCTACTTGCTAAGCGTAAATAGTACAGTTTAGCTAAACATACATACATACCGCTTACCCAATTTCAGATTGTCAAAAAGATGAAGCTCAAAAGGTTTTTTGTAGATGTATCTAGAAATTATTTGGCTCATTTTTTCTTAGGAGCATCATCTTGATCATAATCATCCAAAAAATCAAATTCTTTTTCGATATTCTCTGCATCCGTACTTTCATCTTCTTCATCTTCCTCAATGATTGTGTCGTCTGCTGGGTCAGAGATATCGACAGATTCACCCTGGGATGTTTTTGTGTAGGTTATTTTTGCTCCAGAATGCGGCAACATACCCGACGAGAATGAAGAACTGCCCTGATCGGGGTTAAGACCCTGAAGAGCATTCTCCATCATATTTGTAAGTGTCTGACTCACTAGTTTGTGGGTGATGGAATTCTCGTCTCCATCCGGGATGCTCATATCACCGAACTGATCCTCGTCGTCTGAATCTGAATCTCCAAAATGTGTTGGTGTGAAATGGATGTTGCCTGTCCTCTCACTGGGAGATCCTGGACTCCATTCGTCGTCCGTATTATCTAAATCATCAAATGATGGCATCTGATCAATACTTGGCATCAAATCATCTAAATTGGCTCCACGTTCTACAAAATTAAACAAAAACAACATGTGACAAACAGAAATTCAATCATTATTAGTTTACAGTATCAAGCCCAGCACACAGGCGGATAATAATGACAGCCAATGATTTTTGTTGCTTCGTAGCACTGAATGACAACTCAAAACAAATTCTTCAGAAAAAAAAAATCATTGTATTAATGATCAGAAGACACCATCGAAGCAAGTCAACCCTACAAATTAATGAAAGTGATAGTGAAGATTGTCAGCTCACAGACTGACCGAAGCTTATCACTATTTACACTATAGATATGTAGCCATTAAAGGGCTAACATGTCTGCTTTAGATCATAAGGTCTGTCATTGAGTCAAGTGACCTGTTTCTGATCCCACACTTGTACGTGACAAAGAGTAGGGTCATCTGTCAGAGTCCTCCTTCTGCTAAAGGCCCCTACGCACAAGTGAATTATTGAAATAAAATTGTAACACGTTATTCCTGAAATAACCTAGTTTGTGTCAAGTGGATGTTAAACGGTTAAACCCCATTTCTCTTTTATTTCAAATTCCAATTGATACTATGGAACTTAAATTGTATAGGATGTTCAAAAATCAAAGTCTGTCAATGGACGGGCAATTGTCCAAGGAACAGGCCTGCCAAGTTTTATGTCAAACGTCCATGACTTGGCAAAGCTTTAGGATTTTTTCGAAGAGCATCACCTCCAAGAACAACAAGATGAGTAGAGGTTAAGGCTCAGTTCCTGTTTCACAAGAAAAGCTTGGATGGTATCAACAGTAACATACCATCATCACTATCATTATCAATAGATGGTTCTTTAGATAAACCTGGTGTTGGTACAGATGGTGTACCACATTCATCTTCACTATCTGTTATAGCTTTAGCCAAGGCAGCAGTAGTAAGAGGATCATAGTCGGGATAAAATTCTTCCTCTACATCATTACTTATTGTAGCTGTTGGTTCATCACTTACAGGTACAACTTCTTCCTTTACTTCCTCTTTTACACCTGGAACAAAATGTATAAATAAACTTATCTATTACGGATTTTCCCTTTCCCAGAAACACCAATACTGGTCTTATCACAAGCTTGTAATTTCTAATTAACATAAAAAATAATCATCTGTCAGTCAAATCAGTGTCCAGAATATTTATGTGGTGGTTGGTGCAAAAACCAGTGGAATGTGTACATAAAATATCTCACTTGCATGTGTATTGTAGATGTGACATGATATCAGTGTTTCATAAAGAAGACAGAGGGTCTCCAATGCATATAAAACTCAAAACAATCCTAGAATGCTTTCTTGTCTGCGATATCACCTCGGTGGAAGCGGACGTAAAATACAACTAACTCATCATAGAATGCTTTCTAAATAAGGAATCAACAGTAATGATATGGATCATGTCTTTAAATGATTAAAATCAATGTCAATCATCTTTTATTTTATTTATCTTAGAGGTTGTATTACTTTTACAAATATTGATATAATTCTGATCATGTGTCAAACTGACAAATCGAATCATCTGTTTGGAATTCAGAGTTTCGTTTTTAGGGAATTATGGTAAAAACTGTGCATAGTAGTTACCAATGCTGGATTGGTGACTGGTGACATGGTCACTCACACATCTACAATATTTTATGTATAACAATGTCTACAAGTTTGATGTAGTGTGGTTGTTGAGTTTATGTCAATAAAGCTTGCGCTTTAGATCACAAGGTTTGTCATTGATCCCATGCTTGTACATGGGTTTTCTCTGGGTCCTCTGGTATCACCCCACTGCTAAAAACCCCTACATGCAAGCGAATAATTGAAATAGAATTGATCCATATGTTAGCCCCAAATTGATCTAGTTTAAGTTACATGGACTTTAAACCCTATTTCTTTCTCTCTTCTCAAACGGCTTATCATATTGAACATAAACTTTAAGGCAAGGAAAAAACTTGGAGGCTACTATATGTTAACCCCCTTTAATCCAGTGAAATCTGGGATGGCTGCTTTACTATTTAATCTACACTTACCGACTTTAGCAATCTTGAGATGTTTAAGTTGATAATCTAACCACATTAAAAGTGGTTCCATGTATAGGTAGACCTTCTTAAATAAATCATGATAAACTACACATGGCCATAGTAATATACTCATCACTGTAATAAAATATACCAAATAAATTATTCTCTATTCACAATTATTCTAATCTGATTAAAATACAGATCTATATTTCGTTTCGTTTTTTTTATAATTTTGATGGCCTACACTACATGAAGATCTGACCGATTGTAGTGGAAGGTTGGCGTCAGGTGTCATACGAGCAGCTTTTGACTCTATGATTAATCAATGTGGTTTACCCACAGTTCTGTGTATCAAACGTCAAGATCCCGCCGTAGCAGGCCGTTTTATTGGCTAATCCCTCACATCAATCGGAACGCGGGTTATACAACAACTCTTCCAGATCCTAGTGTTGTGAAGACAAGTAAAATAAAATTTTGAACTATAAAAAACAAAACGAAATAGGATCTGTGTTTTAATCAGATTGCAATAATTTATAAACCCTGTGTGGGCTAATTTCTTTGATCATTTGTTTACCATCAAGTGATATAATAACCTAAACAGTATCGATATTAATAGGTCGCCTGTTTTAAATTTCTCTTGCTCTCATTCTTCTCAGTTACACAAAGAGAAATACAAGCTTTACGTCAAGATTTTGTTTTACCCCTTGAATATGTTATCCATAAAAAACTGGGTTTTTAAGGGAAGACATGTGTATTTAGTATCAAGCTAATACCAGAAACATTTCTTAATCAAGGCTAATATTTTCAAATTCAACTGACTTTTGTAAGAATCAGTTGGGTGTCTAAATGGAGACAATCATGCTGTGGCAATAATAATAATAATTTGTACACAATATAATAGTACTGATGAAAAATGTGAGAGAACAAGTTAAAGTTAACCAAATAAATATTTAACCAAAAACTAGTAAAATAAGTGACAACAAGAAAAGTGCGTCTAGTTGGATGGTACTGGAGTGAAATTCATACTGCAGTGCATACACCGGTAAAAGTGTCATGACAGACCAAATTTAAAGAACACCACTGTAAGGGCAAAATTCTCCTTCCTGGCAATGTACACTTACTCACAGTAGACTACCAGATATCATTAGTCTCAAAGAATCATTCCATTTGTAAGTATTTTAGAGGACCTAATGCCACTTCTGTAGGTTAGTGTAAGAATTTGAAACATCCATATTGCTGGGAATCATATAGAATACTAAAATTCTTACCTAATGTGTAAGATAAAGTTAATCCTGATATACAGCGACTCACCAAATACAATGTTGTAAAAAATGAACAAGTGAAAAAACTAAACTGAAAAATAAAACAACAACTATAATTTATATAGCCTCACAAAGATTATATTAATACCTTTCAGGCTACAATATTGTGAAAGCTGCGTCTCTATGGGGAATATCATTCCAAAAATGGTTCAATTCTGTTCGGTATTATGAATTGAAGATTTGTCAACAATCCACATCCTGTCGTAATCCAATATAATGAAAGCGTGCCGACTACTACCACCACCTACCTTTTTCAAATTTACTCCAATAATATTCCTCCAAAATTACCCTATTTTTCGGGGTATTTGTCAATACTTTTTTCAGCAGAAGTCCGGCATTTGTCTTATACGCTGTTTCGAATTATATACGGATCAAGGTAAAAACAATGACAATGACTCACAAGAAAACTACAAATTAATATTTTCCTCACAGACTTAAGATGCATTATAATTTAACATTTAGATACAGCTACCCATACTTGATATAATAATAGTTGAAAAATAGATAATGAAAAAATGAATATACTGAAAATTTCAGTCTGATTACTTTATTCTGAGCAAAGTTATGAATGTTTGAAGTTTTGACAAGAAACAGTCAATTTTCATCTACCACTGCCATGACAATAAACGAAGGCACGATTGTTGGTCCATTTATTAATAGATCATATGACGTTGGTGCTCTAATTCACTCAATATCTAAGCCATCCAATTGTCTAGAGAATTGATTATGGACTTGTAATATGAATAAATGTCTAAATAATAATTTATATATAATATGTAAAGTCAGAAAAAAGATCTGTCTAAATAATAATTTATATATAACATTTAAAGTCAGATAAAAGATCTGCAAAAGGCAGATTTAGCTCTTACATAATGCATAAATAAAAATTCTAACAATAAAGTCTTTGATATCATATTTACACCTGTAACACTTAATTCTTACTTTTTGTGGATGATTCCGACGAAACAGTCTCCATTTTCTGAGCGTTACTTGAATAAAGGACAAAGCTTGAGCGATATGATGTGATATTTCTGGTGTACTAAGTAACCGAGTATGAACAGGAGTCCAGCTGGAAAATAAATACAATGACCAACAATCAATGATTGAAACTAATGCAAGATGATAACAATGGCAGCAATATTATTATTTTATATTCATTTATAATGTACATTATATAGCCAATGCACTTTTTTCTTTTTTTTAAAAATTTGCTACACAAATCTAATTTTGATATTATAATCTACTTACTCATCTTCATCCTCAGGCACAGGTGGTGGAACTGAAAAATATATAGCACCAATTATACTGGATTACTAAATAGTCTCAATACTAATACTACATATACATTATGTGTAGGTTAACTAATAGCATCAATTCTAATATACATTATGGGTGGATTAACCAATAGCATCAATTATATTATATTTATGACTGGATTAACTAATAGTATCAATTATATTATATTTATGACTGGATTAACTAATAGTATCAATTCTAATATACATTATGGTTGGGCTCGTATATATCATCAATTATATGGAATAACAAATACCATCAATTATTACAGATGGGCTAATCAATAATATACATAATTTCCAAAATATAAATATATTAACAATTAAATATGCAACAAGACCACTGGCTAATAGTCTCCTTATTCCAAGATCAGGGGGCGAAGATATTGATTTTGTTTGGAGGAGTGTTTACAAAAATGAGACCGACTGATGCACATGCCCCCTATTACAAGTGACACAGCCATGAGCCGAGCACCACGGGTGCGAGCCTTCTAGAGGGTTCCAAGGGCATGCTACGCCAGAAAATTTCTTAATCTAGATTCCCTGATAATCGAGACTTTGTTTATTATCTTAACAACAGTAGCAATGACAATCAAGACTAGACTGTTCTGCAAGTTCTGCAAACGACAATAACTCTGCTCAGAATGAAGTAATTTGATTGATACTGACCACATATTCCCTTTTCATTATCTATTTTTTTTAGCTATTATAGCAAAAACTGTCGGCTCTTTATCTAATTCTTACATAACACTTCTATTTAAAAAAAGCCAAAATAAACATACCTCTAATTTCGGGCCATATTTTTTTCTTCCAGGTATCTACGAATACAATCACTAACAAAGACACGGATATGAGAAAATAGAACTTTGATGAAATATAGGCCAAAAACCTGAAATACAAAAATATGTAGCACAATCACAAGCTAACACTGACCTTATATACATGTATTGTTATTAATAGTAAATTCCTTCCCATCTTTTTGGAGCAGTTTGTTCTAATGGACAAAATGATAATATGACCAAAATAAGCAACATGTACACTGTAGCCCTACATGTATAGTGCCAATCCAGGTTTGTACATGTACACGTCTTTTGGTGAATTCTTATAAATTTTCATGACTGTGACAAGTGTGTTAATTGTTATAGCAGCCAACTGCTAAAATTTGGGGAGGGATCATACATGCATGGCCAGTTTCTAATACTTTCTTCATTGCAACTAGCTAAGCTGGCTCTTATTATTACTAAAAACAAAAATGAGACAAATTTGAAAACAATCTTTCAACAGGTTTCTGCATATCCCCTCCTATAACCTCAATCAACACAATCCAAACACTAAAATTGCCTGCATTAATTTTGTCTGATTGCTTCTGAAATAAAGCAAGACATCTCTTATCTATTATTAGCACTATAATCGATCAAATAGACACAGGTTAATGGCTACCTACGAGACCATAGATGTAGCTAAACGATTGAGACATACTGATGCGATTTTCACTTTGTCTAAGTTGAGCATTTTGATTGACTGTTGTACATGATATAAATTTAGCCGATCTCCATGACGTTAAGACATCAAACCTCTTCTGTGTTAAAATGATGAGCTAAGCCAGCTTATAACGCTTCGATTTAAAAGAGATGATTTGTAGCTGTGTCAGGTAGGATTATGTGCCTAATTTAGTTTGATGTGGGAGAAATGTAATAAATAACAATAATCAATCGTTGTTTTGAAGAAAACATTTACAGTTTTGCTTATTGAATTCACATCCGCACCTTACAGGAGGAACTACATACATAGTACCATCTCTATCTCGAGACACACATGGACCTATCGAAGACCACTTGGACCAAGATAGAAGACCACTCAGAAGGGTAACCAGACAATCTGTAGAATTTGCACTACAGAAACTGTAGAATATTTGGGGTCGTTATTACATGTACATGTACCAACACAGAGGGATGGCATAACAGAACTGACCAAAAAAGGCAAGAAAGGGAATTTGCAATTCTGTCTGCTGCTGACCCTGCTATACAACTACCTACACAAATCAAAATGGTTTTGGATGTTGTAATAAAGATTAATAATTTTAGATTAATTTCTTTTATAAATTGTTGATGTAATAAAGATTTTTTGTTTTAGATTAATTTTTCTATAAATTTTTGATTTAATAAAGATTATTTTTATTTGCTGTAATTTGATTTAATTACCCATAAAATATAATAAATATAATAAATGTTAACTAGAATATTGGTCCGATTTAATAATAAATAAATAAATAAATAACAATATTGAGTAGTCTTTTATTTTAATGGTAGCACATTTCAGTCCCGCGTCATTTTGGACTCGACACAGATGACCTTTCGGACTCAGCTTGATGACGGTTCGTACATACTTGACAACTTTTCGGACTCGGTCTGGCAACATTTCAGACTTAGTTTCGGACTCAGATGAATAAATAAAAGACTGTTGATAATTTGTGTGATATGTTTGTAACAACTGTTATATTTTCGCTTTATGTGAGGTTGATATTTGTCTTCTGTTTTATTTAATTGATCGGCAATTGTAGAGACTGCTAATAAAAAAATTAACACAGCTTGTTTTGTTTCATTGGCCAGTATTGAACTTGACAATAAAATATTGTTGAAAATTTGTGTATATTTAGTAATACTTTGTTGTAAATGAGCTTGATTGACTGATCACTGCTAATATTTTTGTAATTGTAAAGGCCTAAATGTCTTTTACATGAAACAGAATAATTGCAATCAACACACAGCCGCCATTATCCACCAAAGAACCATAAGGTTTCTTTGCACATACTACAATAACATTGAGATTATCAGCTTTAATTATCCCACTTTGGTTGTTGCTATTTCTAATATTTTCCGAAAAGTGTACTGCTATCTATTGCAAGCTTGTCGAGGAATGCATGTCAACGTGCAGTTTACGAATTATCATTAAACATTTCTAGGGACTTGTAAAAACAGAGAGAGAGAGAGAGAGAGAGAGAGAAATGGGGTTTAACGTCCATTCGACACAAACTAGGCCATTTCGGGACTAACATATGGTTTATGTTATTATTTCAATAATTCCTTGTGCGTAGGGGTCTTTAGCAGTGGGAGGAAACCAGTTGTAAAAACAGTGCATGTCGTGTAAATATTTACTTTTGTTTTTGTGTAGGTCATTTTGTATTAAATTCAACAGCAAATTCTTTTTTAAAAAAATTTATTACTTTTACGGGAAACGATGATAAAGAATCGCAAGTGCAACTAGTGTTTAATTGTTGGAGCCTTTTAATAACCATGTGTTTAATTATGTTAATATTTTCGTGTTTTAAATTGGCCTATTTCTAATCAGCTACTATTTACAGTTATAAAGAAATAAAACATTCTTTTCATAAAGATTCCACATTATTTTCATAAATATCGGAAATTTTGCCTTCCTTAAGAGGTATATATGGTGCCTGATCCAAGAATCCATGTGCTGTACTTGATGGCGAGTGGTAAATTTTACCTGCATGTTAATTTTATAAAATCGTTTTTGGCTTATCATAAATTGATTTGACAATTGTGTTCAACCTTTCCTTTCAACTTATTCCCAACCGAGTCCGAAATGTCAACTAGTGCGAAATGTTGAGGCCATAATTTTTGGGGGCCGAAATGTTGTAAGTCCGAAATGACACAGGACCGAAATGACATGGAATCATTTTAATTTGGTGAAATATGTGGACAAGACAAACTCCATAAACATATCTTGGACCATGTGTTGGTGCGAGTGGTCTTCAAAGAAAACAAATGTATAAAACAACTATCAATCTATTTGTTGGTCCGGGTGATCTTCTAGCATGGTTCGAGTGGTCTTTGCAGTCTGAGTTGTTGCATGTTAACTTCTATTATATTCTCCTAGACTATAGAGATAAGATAAGATAAGATATGATTTTATTGTGTGTGTGAAATAGCTTTATTTAATGTCCGCTTCCACCAAAGTGATATCGCAGACAAAGATTTTATTGTATCGAAATATCCTATGCCTATATATATATATACTAATATAGGCCGATCTGTCAAGGAAGACTGACTTGACTAATTCTCCTCAATTTTTTCCATTGTGAATGTGATTGTCTCAATAAATAATTCTACAAATATGATCAAAATCCAAACTGTCGCCTTTACAAAATACATAAAGCTTTGATTTCAAATTCTTCATACCAAAATGATATATGAACTGCTGTAAACAAAAGTGCACTTTTCTTGGGATCTTCCCAAACTAGTAAACTTTGCAGGCTCATAACCATTGGTTCCACAGGACTCAAAGTTTCTGCAACCCATTTTTCTTTAAGTTTGACATTCCTATCCACGTCCTCTTGATCGTGGGGGTTCATATTTTGGACTATGTTATAGTTTTAAATAAAAATTCCATTGACAGTTCTGAACTCCGTAATAATATTTTTGTTTTGATATGACGTCACCAGATTTACAGAGGAAAAACCAGAAATCCTTATTCCTTAATACGTGAAATAAATTCGATATCAAAATGTTAGAAAACGTTTATGCTATACATTTCTGTATATATGATATTTTTCAACTCGGTATAATTAGATTTCGAAACTCATAAAAATATTTTATTAACCTCGGACCTACTCTTTTAAACCTTTGTATACTTCCGCAATTTTTACCGCCCGTTTTCAAGCCTTGACAAGACTTCTGAAAAGGCAAAACATATAGACAGAATGCCACGTGAAATAATTACATTGCAGTTGGGACAATGTGGAAATCAAAGTACGATAGCCCAATTCTAATGTATTTTATGACTATTTCTGTTGATTACATGTCATTTGGGACTCGTGGCATTTGGGACTCTCGTCATTTGGGACTCCAAAAAATGACCGCGGCATTTGGGACTCGGGTATACGACGTTTGGGACTTTGGTACACGTCGTTTAGGACTCGGGTCCCATATACTAAACAGCTTTCCCTCCACCTGCTTGTACTTTTTCTTTGATGTCGCCTCAAAAACCCCTCGGACATCATGGCAATATCTAATTCTATCTTTGATGATTCGATAAAAAGTGGGGATCACGTGGCTAAGCGGGTAAGACGCTAGCTCGCTAGCTCGCTAGCCTGGAGGTCGGGTGTTCGATCCCTGCATTGGCCGAGAAAGTTCATCTAGTTTTTCCGGCATGGTTCTCCCTTGTCAGTGATGCAGGACGGAGTGGCTGACAAGGAAAGCTGTCTAGTCGTTCCGATGGGACGAAAAACCGAGGTCCCGTGTACACATTGGCGTGCACGTAAAAGATCCCTTGGCAGTTGGAATTCGATATAAGAGTAGGCCGTAGTGCCGCTGTCCTTCGCAAAATTTCCCTCATAGAACACTGTATGGCGTATGCCCGTCTTCATTAGCCCAAGTTAGGAGCAGAACAGTAGGACGTTAAACTCCATTTCATTTCATTTCGATAAAAAGCTCACAAATTAACAAATAAAATGGCACAGGGCCTCTGGAATTAACTATTTCTACATAATAATGTTTTAATTTCTTATAAATAAAAGACAACTAATAATGTTTTCATTTCTTTATTATTATTATTAAAAGACAACTAATAATGTTTTAGTTTCTTCATTATTATTCATAATCTGTCTTCGGCCATCATCTAAAACGAAAAAAGATAAGTAATTAAGAGTCCCAAATGTCGTTTGTGTTGAGTCCCAAATGACGCCAAGCAAGTCCCAAATGTTGTCAACTGGGTCCCAAATGTCTTTTGTGTTGAGTCCCAAATGACGTGAGTCCCAAATGACGTGATACCTTTCTGTTAGAGTTGTCGACCAAATATGAATATTCTGAAATTTTCATACAGAAATCACTAGACTATTATCTCTATACCGTACTATGAGTATGAATGATGAAAGTAGAGCCAGTACAGACAGGCGTATATGTGCAACACAGCACGTTGCTGGTGGTAAAAACTGGTGCCCTGCAAATTAGCCTTATTATGACCATTGCACTGTAAAAATAGACAAACGCAAATATTTAAGAATGCCTGCGAAACAAAGACGTAATGTATTGCCAGTATAGGCCTAATAAACAAATTGAAATTGAATTATAATCTTTGTAAATAATTAGAATTCAAACTAAAATATTTTAAAGTAAACCAGATAATTTGTATCCCTGGTTACCTGAAGTTTGTTTTGAAATATTCCATTACATTTGTACCGGCGTTCAAATGGACTGACACACAACTGTGTATAGCCATAAAAATCTTACCCCAGTAAAATTGACAGTGACAAATAATAGAGCTGAACAAATTAAACCTTATCCCAGGAATGATGCATTGTCAAAAATGACGAGGCCAGCACCAAAGTGCATCCCATATTCCCATGTAGTAATTAAGCCCCAATATATCATTCGGTGGAAGAGGAAAACATAGCCCAGTTGTCTGAGTTGACAAATTGGCATCTGATGATGATGATAGTATCTAGGATTGTCTATAAAACTCAAATAAAAAGAAACTTTTAGGAACTGGAACTCATAAAATGGATTGTTAGTTTGAGAATAAAATCTAGAGACTAGATTTTAATTTAGAAATATTAGTAGATATCAGTGTGTTACTGTTAACTATGTTTAGTTGTGTTTTTTAACGTTTTAAACTGACGGTATCAATGGAACACAAATCTGCTGTCTCAACAATTGTTCAACATAAACCCGTCACACTTTAAAAGTTAATTCAATCAACACTTTTATTTGTTACTTACTTTTACTCAAAGCAAAGATGGCATGGAAACTGAGAAAGCTTAGAAAGACGCTGGCTGCTAACGTCAAAGTCTTAGGTTCACTTTTGGTGTTGGCCAATAGCTCCTCGGGTTATTCTGGCATGGTTCCCCCTAGTCAGTGATGCAGGACAGATGGCCTAACAAGGACAATATCTACATATAGTCGTTTCGATGGGACAATTGAAATTCGAAAAAAGTGTACGCTGTAGTGCCGCTGTCTAGGCAAAATGTCCCTCATAGCAGACTGTATGGGTGATGTCCTTCTTCATTCAGCCGAGTCAGTGCAGAAAAGAAACCCTATTTCTTTTGAATTTTGTTTTCTGAGTGCTACATGTACATGCTGGCTCGAAAACTATGCCTAGATCTGTTTGAATAAAATAGAAAATCTTTGTCTCAAATTAATGTTATTCCTTCACCTAAATCTTGCTTTTCAGAAATTTTAATAATTTGTATTGTACATGTATAGATAAATTAGAGACTTGTCTAATGTTTTGTTTCCTTTATACATTTTAGTTGGTTTTGAGTTTTGGAAGCAGCTATGTGCAGAGCATGGTATAAGCCCAGGTAATAAAGCATTTAAACTTACCTTCCTTTTAAGGGAGCAATACTGAAAAATTAGTTTTACCTTGTGTATTATATAAATATCCTTAAAAAGTTTTACCTATCTATAAATATAATTACAGACTTCAGATTCCTAACTTTTTAGTGAATTGGAAATACATCATTCTAACATTGACATGGTAATGTAAATGTGTTAGACACCTCCATTAGAAATGAGTGAATGAATCAAAGAGAACGGAAAAGTTAAACCATGTACCCTTCATTTCATTGTAGTGGAAAAAGGAAAATACACATTGATTTCTGTAAATATTGAGATGTAATATTAATCAATTTAACCTGTATTTTGTTCAGTACATGGTTCTACTACAATGTATATAACATTTATTATATTCAGAGGGTATGTTGGAAGATTATGCTACAGAAGGAACCGACAGAAAAGATGTGTTTTTCTATCAGGTAACAAATAAAAAATTGTCATGGGAAGAAATAAATTTGGAGATTATTATATATATTATACCATGAAAAAGAATTATTTGATTTATTCTGAAGATTTATGATGATATGGGGGGCTGAGAGGTCTAGTGGTTTAACACATGCATATGAAATAATAAGGGCTGTCATTGAGTCAAGTGTAGGTGACCAGGAGGAGGATCGCCTGTCCAACCTCATGGGTTTTCTCTGACCCCTACGTGCAAGCGAATTTTGAAATAGCATTGAACCAGATGTTAGTCCCGAAAAGACCTAGTTTGTGTCGTGTGGACGTTAAATCTAATTTCTCTATCACTAAATTTCATGGTATCAAAATCTAATGACTGTTAAATTTCTATGTTAATTAACTTGACTGCTTATCAGATAGTATATAAATAAAAGACCCGGATATGATTTTTTTTTTTTTCATTTTATAAATAGGCTGATGATGATCACTATATACCTAGATCTGTATTACTGGATTTGGAACCTCGAGTCATTAATACCATCATGAACTCTGGTTACGCTAAACTCTATAATCCAGAGAATGTTTACCTGTCTAAACATGGTGGTGGTGCTGGTAACAACTGGGCTAGTGGTTACACTCAGGTACGTTAGAAACATGAAAATAAATATCTTTTGTATTAAACTTGCTTTTTTCATTCAAGGAAAGATTCAGCAAGTACAATCTATTGTTATGTATGATAAAAAAAATTTGAAAGTGAGACGCTTTCCATCATCATCAACATTGGTCAATGCTTAGGACAAAGGTTTTTTTAAAACTTCAATAACCTAACCCAATCATTATAGAACTGTATGAAACTTGGACATGGGCTTCGGTACCTGTACAGTAAATGCTTATGTGCAAATTATATAACAGTCTTTTGTTATGACTTTGTTCTTAGATTTCGAATTATTTTTGTTTCAGTTTGCTATGTTATTGACCATACCTTTAGGAGAGGCATAGCTTGATTTAGTAGTAATCTTCTCTGCCAAATACTCCTCTTAGGCAATAACAGAATACTAGTATTTTCCATTTGCTTTTACAAGACTCTTAAAACAATTGTCGAGTTGCCTAATTTGCATGTTTCTAAATTTGATTTCTTGTTCTAGGTTTATGTTTCGTAGGGAATAATCTTGATTATCTAGGCCTGTCATTGAGAACAGACAGTGAATCAATTTGCCCTATGATAAATGTGTAAGGTATATTTTGTATTTTATTAGGGTGAAAAGTTATATGAAGAAGTATTTGACATAATAGATAGAGAAGCTGATGGTAGTGATAGTTTAGAGGTATGTTTTCTATCTACCCTTCAATTAACTATTGGGGGGGGGTGTGGATGGCCAAATGGTTAGCGTGTGCGCTATGCATCATATGGTCTGTCATTGAGTCAACTGTCGTGGTTTCAATTCACCTCGCAGGTTTTCTCAGGGTTCTCCAGTTTCTTCCCACTGCGAAAGACCCCTACGCGCAGGCGAATTATTGAAGTAAAATTGAACCATGTGTTAGTCCTGAAATCACCTAGTTTGTGTTGAGGCAATGTTAAACCCTATTTCTCTATCTCTTTCAACTATGATCATTGTAATATTAATAGAAATGTTATTACTACTGTAAAGTAAAAAAGTTGTTAACACAATTTAAATGGATAAAAATTAATATGACAACCCCAGTATTCAGTAAAAGTGAACATGATGCATGTTATCTAAAATCATTGTACAAGGCTATTAGGATTTTAGAGGTGGAAGGATAACTAAGAGTTCTGAGGTTGGATACAGAGATATGTACGTCAGATAGTTACTGATATGTAACTTCCAATCATGTATCTCAAAATTTTCATGATCAGCCTCGTACAAGCTTTGGAGCAGGACATTGCAAGATGACTGAGGTAGACAGTGTTCAGTCAAACACATTTATTGGAAAGGCAGGCTTAGTGACAATTGTGATCTTTATGCATTTTTGGCAGAGAACCCAAGTGTAGTTATCTCCCTTTAGTCTCCAGATTATTGAGATATTTGTATTTTTTAGGGTTTTGTGCTTTGTCATTCAATTGCTGGTGGAACAGGATCTGGTATGGGATCATATATTCTAGAAAGACTTAATGATAGGTATGTGAACCATATGATGGCAGTCCATTTACATTTATGCATTGGTTTGAGGCACTTTCAATCCAGGTAGAACTGGAAAAAATAATTTTGTTGTCAGCTCCTCCTAGAAGTATTAACCTGTCTTCATTAGCCCAGTGGAGCAAGAAAGTAGGAGGTTAAACCCCATTTCATTTAACGGTAAAAACATTGCAGAATTGGTATGATAAGATATTTTCATTGTAAGTGATAGTCCCAATATTAGACCAAAATAATCAATTACTATATCTATACAAATTATTCTGACTGTAGTCTTCAAATAATTCATGTATGAGAATTTTTTTTCAGGTTTCCCAAAAAGTTGATTCAGACGTATTCTGTATTTCCGAATATAGAAGAAGTATCAGATGTAGTTGTACAGCCTTATAACTCTATACTAACATTAAAACGATTGACACAGAATGCTGATTGTGTTGTAAGTCTCTTTTTTACTACAAAGGTGGTTGTTCCACATTTTGAAAGCTCAAATAAAATGATTGAAAGAAAAGTATGAGTTTTAACATCTTAAAACTATACAACAATTATTTTAATCTTTTAGAGGCATTTAGTAACTGGATAGAACAATAAATTATAACACATACTTATGGAAGAACAATTACTGGTTTATTTAGGCCACGTTTTGAATAGTATTTGGATATGGTTATTTGCATTTGTGTTAATGTGTGCAGTGCAATAGGTAGTATTTTGCTTGGACAGTGGCTTTTTGACCTACATGTACTTCTTTTTGAATTCCATCTGCAAAGGATCCCATTACATGGTTTTCCATTTGATCTGTTACCTAGAACGCCTCAAACCATCTGAATAGCTCTCTGCATTGTAGGACTGTTTACAGTTCTATGGTGGAAAGGGGGTGCACAACTATCATGTGACTCTGGCAGTTTGAGGCACTTTATGTAGCATCAGTCCCAGGCTCTGTCCAAACTCCAAAGGCTAAAGAGTTATGATGAAAGACCATGGTTTTTCTTGAGTAAAGAGTAGCTCAATAATAGACCTAGAGGTGAAGAGAAGTGATATTTTACTCATTAGTTTCTAGTATTCACATTTCTAATTGCTCAAAGGCGTCAATGTTGACCGATATTTATCTGTTATAGTTCAACTTGATGTCCCATTTTCCTCAAAAAATGGTATGGAATAAAGAAATTTATAGCCTATGATTTTTTAAAGTGAATGTTTGATGTATTGTAGGTTGTTTTAGATAACACAGCATTAAATCGTATTGCTGCTGATAGATTACATATAGATACACCTACATTCGGACAAGTTAATCAGCTGGTAAGGAAACTTATTCAATCAAACAAATAATAGTTGATATCTTCATTTAAAGAGGTGTTATCATTTTTACAAGGAAATAAATTGATTCAAAACTCCATAAAAACCACTATTATAGGATATAATTTGTATCTCATTGACAAATGGGTCTATTCAGTGCCGGACTGGTGGGCTTTGGCCCACCTGTTAGGTCATTGACCAAGGCCCACACAAGTACGCGTTGAAGGCGCGAAACGAGCGTGCCGAAGGAGCGCGAACGTCCGAGGGGAGTCTGCTGGGGTTCTCCCCATTTTCCAAGCATTTCAGACCAAAGCAGAAGGCAAATTTTTGATTTCCTGATACAATTAGATAACAGAATGACCTAAGAGCACTATCATTAGATGAATTTGAGAATTCTAGTACACTTCTTTTTTTGTGTTGTTTGTCAGTCATTTTTTTCCTATCTTTTCGTTCTCCTGTCCTCTGTCCTGTCCTTTCCTTCTTTCTTTTCTTTCCTCCCCCTCTCCTTTCTTTCTCTTTTCTTTTTTCTTTTTTCTTTATAGGCTTAGGCCCACTTTTTTTTAATGAGCTTAGGCCCACCTGTGACGGACAGGTGGACAGATGGGCCCAGTACGGCACTGGGTCTATTTGTCCCATATTTTGTCTAAACTTTAATTTGAACATCTCGGATTTAAGTGAATAGTAAAATCCCAAATAATTATTATCAACCGCCACAATAAAAATTGCACTATTTTTTTTATCAACATTGTCTATTATGTTTGATATTTTGTTATAGGTATCAACAGTGATGTCAACCAGTACAGCAACATTACGTTACCCAGGTTACATGAATAATGATCTGATTGGGTTAATAGCATCTCTAATTCCTACACCTAGACTCCATTTTCTCATGACTGGCTACACACCACTATCTACTAGTTCACAGGTAATTTGAAAACCTTTGGATAAGCCAGTTCCAGATAAATCAGTTTCACATATAAATCATGTGGATGGAATATTCTGATTAATTTCCATGTGGTCAATTCTTCTTCGTCAGCGTGCTTCTGACGCGTGGTCATATTCAAATCTACATTCTTGACGTGAATGTTGCATTCTAAGTTTCAGGCACAACTGATTTAGCAAGCGATGGATTGGGGAATGGAAAAGTTTGTATCATGAAAAAGTTTGAGCCATGTTAAAATTTGGGTCTTTTCATTATTCAAACTGGTACTGCATTCCTAATTTCAGATGTCGAAATCAACTGTGTATTATTTTTTGTAGGTTTCACCATTTTGCTAGTTACAGATGCATTATGTAAGATTAGATAAAGAGCTGGCTGTTCTTGCTATAGTAGTACAAAAATAGATAATGCAAAAATTAATATATTGAGCGAGTTATCACTGTTTGAAGTTTTATCAAGATACGGCATAGATTGTTTATTATCCTAACAACTGTACTTGTTATTGTTATTTGAGATTATCATAACACCAGTACTTGTTATTGTCATTTGAGACTTTGCAATTTTTATGTTAAATCTTTAAATGGCGACTGTGTTTTAAACCGTTTAAATCTCTGACATTCAATGGTCTAGAGAGCTGAATATGAGCTTGTTTTGTGAATAAATGTCTAAATAATAGTTTATTTAACTTTTGAAGCCAAAATAATATAATGCATTTTTAAGTACTAGAATGTATTTTCTGCCTATAAATCCCACTGCTAAAGTGTTAATAACAATTTGGTTCTAGGTACTAATGTATACACATTTATTTGATAACATTGTTATTTTTCTTTTGTAGGTAGCTAGTGTACGTAAAACGACAGTTTTAGATGTTATGAGAAGATTATTACAACCTAAAAATATGATGGTATCAACACCAGTACAAAGACAAGCTAATCATTGTTATATATCTATATTAAATATTATACAGGGTGAAGTAGATCCAACACAAGTAAGTATATCTATCTATTAAATACAAATATTTATTTAATGGACTAGACAGGGTGGCTGTCTTATATAAGTCGCCCACCCCTTGCTATGACATATATACTTCCTAACTACAGTTTTATCCTTTATAAATACACTGGGACAAACTCTTCTGTGTAATGCATAAATGATGATTCTGTCACACATGTAAATTTGACAGGTTATCAGAAAATCGGTATGGATGTAGAAATTAAATACTGATTCAACTATGAATATACATCTACATTCCTCTTTCCTGATTACAGAGGCATCCCTATTGCCATGTTTTGGTGTGATGATTCAATAAAATTGATACTGGGACTGTCCTAAAGCATGTTCTACTGGTATTTATTTGCATAGTAAAGTTTTTTTCAGGAAAAATTTACAATCATGAAACTATACTTTTTGGTGTATGGACATTGGACTAGTATAGTTATGGACAACCTTTGCGAGATCCTTGCTTATCTGAAAACCAGAGATTGATGCAAGTGCAGTACTGATCATACATCTATTTTGTCTATTTTAGGTACACAAGAGTCTACAGAGAATCCGAGAAAGAAAGTTAGCAACGTTCATACCATGGGGTCCTGCTAGTATCCAAGTGGCTCTGTCTCGTAAATCACCATATGTACAAACTTCACATCGTGTTAGTGGTTTAATGTTGGCCAATCATACCAGTATTGTGTCTGTAAGTATTCTTTATCATTTTTCTCTTCTTTCAATTCAAGATAAAATGTGGTTTGGTGTATCCATGTTGGTATGACACCAGAATATTGGGTTGGGGGTCCAAGTAATTAGAGCACTAGACTTTTGACTAGAATATTCCCTGATCAAATACCGGCATGGGTGATTTAACAAGCCCATTTCAAATTTGCTAGTGCTGGTACCAAAACTGAGATCCACCCATGTAGACACAGGTATTCTCCTAAGAACACTGTAGACATTTGGTATTCAAATGAAGAGTAGGCAAAACTATTCTTTGTAGCATTGCATATGTGTCCATAAGTTAAAGGTCAATGACATTTTTTCTTTATATTTCATTATTACAGCTTTTTGAAAGAACATTACGTCAGTTTGATAAATTACGTAAAAGAGAAGCCTTTATGGATCAGTTTAAAAAGGAGAGAATATTTGAAGATAATTTAGATGAATTTGATAATTCAAGGGAAGTATTACAACAGTTGGTAGATGAATATCATGCTGCCACAACACCAGGATATCTTGGTTGGGGAACATCACAGGTAAAATTCAAATTAAGCATCAGGGCTTTGCTTTACCTTAATTATAAACTGTGACATTGTTAGTCTCAAAATTACTTGTAATTAAATGTTGAGATATTTTAGATTAAGCTTTAGTAAACAAGGCTCCAGGCAGAGCATTTGTTTTTGATTTGACTCATGTTGAAATGGACTAGCTGTAGAATTTATGTGTCAGTCAATTCCAATGGTAAAACATTATTAGTCATTTCAAAGAATTTAGCCCTAACATACAAATTTATAAGTTTTATGTGTATGGGCAAAGCTCAAATAATTCATTTTTATTTTGCTGACTACAAAGATCTCCAAAATGCTAATGCATCTTTAAATATTGTTGAAGATGGTCTTCTTGGCTGTGAAATAATATTGCTAATGTGTTGCTTTCTTCACAACATAACAGATTGTGTTCCCTTTCCTAGTCCCCAAATTTTTATCACAAGTGTGTATCTAAATGTGGTGAATTATGTCAGTATGACTCTAACTACAGTCTGTTTTATTTCAGACTGCCTCATCTACTTGAAGAAAAACGATCTGTCTGGATTGAATCTGTGATAATATATAGTGTTACATATACACTCAAAGATTGGTCTATATTACTAAGGGTGATAAACATGTATTTTATTTATGTGCTAGCTATAAGATGCTTATTGATCTGATGAGAATGTTCTTAAAGATGTGAATAACTCATTGATACTAAAACAGTAAAATTGTGATAAACATAACTCTATTTAAATGAAATGGGGTTTATTGTCCTACTGATGAGGGCTAATTAAAGACAGGCCCGCTTTAAAGAAAATACTCAAATCAGTTTGTGTTTGTATAAATATTACAGTTTGAACCAACGGGTGTCCTTATACATCAGAATGTTGAGAAAAATGACCAGATTTGACAACAGGAGTGAAAAATCAAAGCTCTATAAATGTACTATTCCTCTTTTAAATCTTGCATTAATTTATGAAAATGCATTAGTGCGTTACATAATCCAAATGGTATATTTGATTACTGAAATAAATTATTATACAAATTATAGATATATATATAAGGATGTGCTATGTCAGTCCTACATGATAACCGAAGGTATAACAACCCCATACATAATGACATCATGAAATTGGAATATTTTCTGTATTACCTGGACACCAGGACAGGTTAGAGCAATATTCTTATACCATACTCAAATCAAAAGTACTTTTAAATTGACCAGTTCTTAGATTACCGTGACCATCTTGATTTGATCTTGGGATACCCCAGATCATTTTGTGAGCTTTATCCATTGTTTGTTGATAAGTTTCTTGGTAATGGATTTGCTTAGATTATATTTTTGGCTTTTGTTAATCATCCAGTTTGTTTTTACTGTGTTGTGGTTATTGATAAAAGTGCTATGATGATTAATACCAAGACTTATTCATGAAAAATTAAACAAATTCGAACTGTTATTGTAAATAGGTAAATGGAATTGCTATAATAAATCAGTTCTTTCTATTGTTAGCTTTGTCTTATCTTTGATTTGTAATATTAAAACTAAGGTACATTTCTAATTTAATAAGTTTCAAAACGGTGTGACCTTTGCAAATAAAAAGCTATAGCTGATCTTACAGATTAGGTGCATTACAAATATTACTTTGACCACAAGGATCTGAAGACAATAATAAACTGTCCCATCTCACGCCATTTGTCTTTTTGAGACAGGGGACTGGGGTATTATATTGGGTACCTCCGTCAGCCTTTGAAAGGCACAAAGTTCATTTCAAAACTATAATATAAATGCTATCGATGATTAACTGGAGTTTCTGTTCGCCTAGTAGACACTTTCAGAATACAATTGAACTCAAATTTGTTTTAAAGCCTTCTCCAAATCAGTCTTTAGAAATAAAAAAGTTAATCGTCTATGACAGCGATTTTCTTGAATATGGATGAAATTTTCTTGAATATGGATGAAAATTCAAGATGTTAAATCATACGGCCACATTTCATGATGTTCTTTGAATGAGAGAGAGAGAGGTGGGGCTAGGAGAAAACCCAGAAGTTAGGTAGGCGACAGCCAGGTATGGAAACCACGACACTCAATAAAAGTCATGGTGCCACCTGGTGGTATTTTAAATCATTAAGAATGATTAACTGCTTTGTAGTATTTGTAAAATAGAAAACTTGAAAACAATATAGCTTATCTTACAGACACGACTAAAGCCATATTATATTGAAGATTTATTAACTCTCTATCCTTTTTGTCTCGGTATTAATAGAGTAGTAATCATCCAAAACAATCCTCCACACACGTACGTGTCTTTTGATGGTCATTTGACAGGATATTAATGCTTATATTAGTCGACCAGACATTAGTTAGAGTACCATAATTGACAATTGTATCATGACCCGCGGGCAATAGGCTTTAACATTGGCTTGGATTTGTAATGTTTTTGGACATTGGATACACAACGTCCCCTCGGGGATGCAATCTTTCAATGGCGATCGATTAGAATCGGGTCGCATTTTTAAGCTGAAGGTTAAATGACAATCTGGAAATGAAACGAAATTAAACGTCCCACATTTCTACACTAACCAAGCATACACCATGAAGTGGGGGTAGGTGGCCTAATGGTTAACGCGGGCCTGTCCAACTTCATGAGTTTTCTCAGTGTTCACCGGTTTCCTACAGACCCCTACGCGCAAGCGAATTATCGAAATAAAATAGTCCCTAAATGACCTGGTTTGTGTTAAGTGGACGTTAAACTCTCTCTCTCTCTTTCTTTCTCTCTCTCTCTCTCTCTCTCTCTATCCATGCAGTTTGATATAGGAAAAACTAATTTAGACCGACAGCGACCTTTCTGTCAAGACTTCATCAAATTCCAACTGTCCGGGGTTATTTTGCGTGTACAATGAACCTCGATTTTCGTACTCCCCGAACAACATTTGTCCTTTCTCGAGGGGGTAAGTGTAGGGGACTTAATTACGCGGTTTGCGTCATGGGTTTAGAGTTTTTGCGCCCCCTCTTAAATTAAAAAAAATGACATGGTTTCAATGCGATTTCTGGTCTCCATTACTTCATAATATTGCTGAAAGATATACCGTAATTCTGATATTCTACAACACAGCCAAAAAGACCTTACAACAGCCGTAAATATTGGGTTTTCTGTGCACCATACTCCTCGCAGTGTCTCTTTTGATTAGATCTATCAAACTCAGACACTGCTGTAATAACCGCAAATTTCTGTTCCAAAATATCGGATCAACAACAACTTCATGACAACGTAACAAAATCATTCGGGTTTAAACAGAGCTCCAGGTATGTTAAAGTTACAATTTCATATTTTTAAGTTATATTTTTAAAATGTATTAAAATAAAGCCCTAAAATAGATGGTATCTATAAACAGTCCTACCTTGTTATAGAATAATCCTATTAATCCTATAATTCACTATTGCCAGTTGAGAAATTGGCAAAAATTATTATTTTCAACTTCAAATTCAAACGTTTGAAGATAGTGATTCCATGGTGGGGAATAGAAAACAAGGGAGGTAATTGTGTTATTTCCGGTGTGAAGATTTTTAAGTGTGAGAAAGATAACCTATGATTGTATAACAGTGAGTTGACAACCTATTGAGCAAAAGACATAAATAATTATGTTTTGACTTTCTTAGAAAATATGAAATTGTAACTTTAACATTACGTTACGTCATTACTCACGAAATGTATAATGCTCCACTAACCAGTGCATAGCAGAATATTGCAGAAGAACTAATTGTGACAAACGAGGCTAACGAAAACGCGTACAATGTTAACAATAGGTAATGACCAATATGAACAAACACGTGGAGAGGAACAACATATTCATCGTTTTCAATACATTAAAGGAGCTAAATCGCTAACATTTGGGACCTAGAAATTCACAAAAGTGGGTCGCAACGCATATAATACTGTAATATGAATGTATATAAACTGATTTACATTAAATGGTTTCCGTTTTTACTCCAATTTCAAATCACAAATGTTCGGCGAAATAAGTCAGCAATCTCAATCGAGTGCAAATTTCTAGCGTCTAGTTATTCTAGTCTACATAACTCCATTTGATTTGGTGCAATGTGTCTAGCCTCGTCCCTCGAGTCTCTCAATACAACTGGGGCTGAAGCGCATTATGGTACACGATTCGTGTACCAATGTTAAAAAAATTATTTTATCTTAAATATCGGATATCAGAAGCTCATCTTTTCCCGGTAAGTTTACATCATCAATGTTGATTTAAATTGATCAATAATTCGTGTTTTTGATGTCGAAGATTTTGGAGGATTTTGAGTTACGGACAAAGGTCCTTTAAATGACTGTCCAAAGTTTTAGGGAGACCACAGATTAAACGGAGGGCTGTCATGTTGCTGTACTTGGGATAGATTTGATTGAACGGGAAGAATAGACACACTCCCTCAAAAGCTCAAGTATCCGATTTCTCTGACCATTGCTTCAGCAATATGTTCTGCACCCGCCCCCACATTTTGTTAATGGGAATTGTTCGTATTTCAAATGTGACCGAAAATGTAGTCTTCAACATCTTCCGAGGCGAAGCTCGAAAGCAAACCATGGTAGGTCGCCAATATCGCGTTGGATTTTCGATTGGTATGCTTGTCAGCGACTTTTTACTGACATCAATAAATACCAAAAAACTCGAAAATCTGCATCACACTGTGCCAACAAAAATGCAACTCGAAAAATATCGCGGTGTGTTCATTTAACTTCCTATTTTCGACTCGATTTTTGTTTGGCGTGCGCGCTGTCGTAACTTCGACTTTCGCGTTCTGAACAGGCAAATAGTAGAAAATACATGGTAGTGGTTATAGGCTTCCATAGTGTGCAGATTTATAAAAAAAATCAACGAGAGCAACATTTACATACATTCTTAAACTACCACCCAATTTAGTGGTGTGCCATCCCCACTTGACTCCCCAACATCTAGCTACGTATGGGAATAATGTTTAACGAGTGATTTATTGTCAGAATTTAAAAATCTGTTTCCTAGCAACTAGAAAAAAAAATAAGAGACAGAGGTATATTGGTCCTTGGAGAAGAATATCATATTTTGCCATTAAAAAAAAAGATCCATTTATCATGATGTCTCCAAGGGTTTTTAGGAACCGATGATGGCGATGATACTACAAGATTGGACCACTTGAGACATAGCTTCTAACAAAGCCAATTAATTCTATAATATATAGCCCGAATAAAACGTATAACAATAAAAGTGATGTAAATTTTATTGTTACTTATGACAATATCTCGCTATAACTATGGTTGTTATTTAATTTGCGTTTTCTCCTTGCTTATGGGTCACCAAGGCTACCATAGACGTACTTTTGACATTGTGTCATATTTAATTATAAATTTTTATTACGTTATTTATTGTATTAATATACAGAACACTAAATCCAAAACATTCTGCTCAAAGCTCGAGGAATTATTTTACATAAATTATTTAAATTTGAAAGTTTGTGTTTTTTTCATGAGTGGGGGTGTAGCAAAAAGTCTTTTACACAAAAATTAGAAAAATATTATATTCAGTTTTTAGATTGGGGGCAGTTTATTGATGGAGTCACTAACCCTAACTAACCCTTATATAGCTTTGTGTGTTTCACCCGTCACCTTGAAATAGAGAGAGAAACGGGGTTTAACGTCCACTCGACACAAAATAGGCCATTTCGGGATTAACACATGGTTCAATTTTATTTCAACAATTCGCTTGCGCGTAGGGGTCTTTAGCAGTGGGAGGACCCGGAGAAAACCCACCGGTTGGACAGGCGACCCTACTCCTTGCCACGTACAACCGAGGAATCGAAACCCCACCAGTTGACTCAATGGCAAACCTTATGATACAGCGCGCACGTGCTAACCATTCGGTCCAATCTGTTTCACAGAGGATTACGAAAGTCTTGTAATATCTCTGTAAAAGATGACTGCCTTAAACACGTGGCGTCACATCACGCGGCATCAGTCATTGGCTCAATGGCGCGTGCATTGTTCACATAAGACGTTGCTGGTTAATACCCATTTACACTAAATAGGAAATTATTTTTTATAAATACTTCAAACGTGTTTATTTATTTTTCAATATACATAAATGTTTTAGAATTTAATTTGTCGGAGGAAAAAAGTTAACATTTGGGGCTCATTAAGTCGCATTGATCCTTATCAGTGATTGACTGATTGGAGGGACTAGCGAATATTCACTGCAGTCGGCCATCCCCCCCCCCCACACCCTTCAACAGCTTGAAATAACCCTGTGTCTATTTGATCTTGCTAATGAAATCATAAAATTTTGAAGTTAACAGCTAACCACATATTTGCCAAGTTCATTTTTTTTAAAAAGAGCGAAGATGTTTAAAATGTTCCTTGTTTTACTGCTGTTGTTTAGAGGAGACAACTTTCAATCTCATTTGGGTTCACGTGGCTAAGTGGGTAAGACGCTGGCTCGCTAGCCTGGAGGTCGGGTGTTCGATCCCTGCATTG